TTTATCATTAGAGTTAAGAATAGATTTGACTTTCAGGGGGAAGAGCTTACAAGTTTTCAATTACAATCAGAAAGAAAATTTTACAGACTGTTAAAAGCGGTAACTACGGAAACACAGGCGACGCTTTGACATCCCACAGCGGTAGCTATTTCAGCAGTTACGACAAGGACAAAGACACAGGGATCACAAATTCTGTCGTGGTTTATCACGGAGCATGGTGTCACACATCTAATCGGAATGGGCAGTACGGAAGTGTTGTGTTCGGCAAGGGGATTAACCTGGATCAACACCACAACACAAACAACTAGTCTAGACAGTAATGTGATGAAATTTAGACGGGTTTAGCGTTTAATACCTTAAACTACACATATATACATGGAGACAACTTTTGAGAACTACCAGAAAAAAATTGTAAATAGTTTAAAAGCATTAAAAATTGCTCAGTTTCTTTTTTATATGTAGTCATACCAGCATATAGGTTTAGCAAGGTTACACCGAAAGCAAATTATTTTTCACTTTTAGTGATTTAAGATTTTTTTTGGTGATTTGTGAATGTTATAAAAGCTTGTATCTTAAATATTTTTTTTATGTCAGATTTATTTAAAATCGAGCTTATTGTTATAATTAATGGTAAATAAATATCTTTTGAAAAATCGGTATTATGCAATTATTCTTTATTACTCATTGCTGAAGCATGTCCTTAGCATTCGATTAGAATTTCTGTAAAGAAGTAATAAAAAGCGCTTGCTTGAGTAGCACGCTGTAGTGAATACTACTTGAGAACATTCAACACTGTCAAGTCTAGTAGCACACATCATGCCAGACATTTTCAATCGCCAATTTTTTAAAATGTTGAACAACCAAGCATTCAAGAAAAACATCGTCTAAACTCGAATACTACTCTATTCCACCCTTCCTGCAATCAGTGTTTAGCTAAACGTGAATGATTTAGTACAATAACTATAAATACAATATATTGTATTGGATTATTAATGTTATTAGTAAAGTGTATTAATGTAGTAAAAATGGGATCGAAGAGGACAAGGTTGCATCGATCACGGTATATTTGTAGCGTTAAAACCTTAAGGGCTAGTAAACTGGTACAAAGCACTCAAGCGTACCTTTTACTAAAATTACAACTCAAGTGTCATTCCACAAGATTAGTAAAGAATCCTCTTTATACCTAGCTGACAATTGGGCAGTTGAAGTAAAGCTCATATATTTCTTGACTGAGGCATATGAAGGGAAGTTGTGGTCAAGGTCTGGCATCGTTTAATTTATCACTTTTTTGAAGGTCTCAATTTGTTAAAGGTCTCACTTTGTTAAAACTTTCACTTTGTTCAAGTTCTTACATTGTTCAAGTTCTCACTTTGTTCAAGTTCTCACATTGTTCAAGTTCTCACATTGTTCAAGTTCTCCCATTGTTCAAGTACCCACACTGTTCTAGCCCACTTGAATGTAGACTGCCACATGTTAAAGTTCTCACTTTGTTAAAACTCTCACTTTGTTCAAGTTCTCACATTGTTCAAGTTCTCACTTTGTTCAAGTTCTCCCATTGTTCAAAGTCCCACACTGTTCTAGCCCACTTGAATGTAGACTGCCACATGTTAAAGTTCTCACATTGTTCAAGTTCTCACTTTGTTCAAGTTCTCACATTGTTCAAGGTCCCACACTATTCTATCCCACTTGAATGTAGACTGCCACATGTTCAACAAGCCAGCATTGTGTCCATATGTACTTTTAAAAATTGCTAATGTTGTCTTATCGCCACCTAGCTGATCACTTTACTGTTGGTACTTTACATTTTTCCCAAATGCAACCAAGCAGCGCTTTGTTGAAGGAGTCTGAGGAAAATTAGATGTTAAGTACCTGGCAACAGGTGGGAGAGTGACTCACACTCGCGACTATTATACGTAGCGTGGGCTCAAACAATATGAACACACAATAAACGTTTCAGACTAATTTCAAGGTTGTTTTTTTTTTGTATTTTGTTTTTGAGACTTGTTTGTCGGTATTCATGTAGGCATTCTCGTGGTCGAGTCGGTAAAGCTCATGGCTGTTAAACCGAGAAGTCCCGAGTGTGAATCCCGGACAAAAGAGGGTTATAGCATGGCGACAGCAACCCTTCTATGGGAGACAAGTCCAAAATTAAGCAACTGCTACATTGTTGTTTGTTTATTGTTTAACAAAAGCTGTGGAAGCAAATCCACAATGAAAAGCAGGCTGAAATCGGAGTCCATCCCCTATATGACGAATTGCTAGTTGATATGGATTATGGAATATAATTTTATGGGGTCTACGAACAAACCCGAAAGACACTTGCCCGAATGCCGTTTGCCCGAAGGCCGATTTCCCGAATGGACACTTGCCCGAAAACGACAAATGCCCTAATGGACACGCCCAAATGCGACAAATGCCCGAAGGCCTTTTGCCCGAAAAATGTTAGCATTATATATTACAAAATAATCATTCGTAATTAATTTAGATTTGAAATTTTGATAAACAATACATTTCTAAACAAAAGGAAAAGAATAAAATAATATAATATATCACCACGCAAAAATTCTTAATTATTATATATTTGCTTTTAAAAAAAGTGTACAAATATATTTTCTTTCCTAACTATGAAACAAGACAAAAATAACATTTTCGTTTATCGTCCGACTACCAGTTTTATGCAAGAATGGGAAAACATTTTTACCTGAATGGGGAATATATTTTCCTTGAATGGGGAATACATGATTTCTATATAAATTTATATATAAAATTATGTGAAAATAATTGTTTTAAACTTTCCGTTCAGTAATCTATAATTTGAGGATATAATCTTAAATTTAAAAAAAAATTACTCCCTCACTCTCGAATGGTCAGCTACTCACATGTTATGGGAACAGTCCTCTAGCTCCGCCTTCCAAATAAGCTCTTCACACGTCATCGTGACACGTACACCCCACGCAAGCAAGTCTCACATCTTTCGTGTTTCGCGATAATTTTAGCTCTCTGGTAGGTAGAAACATCTATCAAATTTCTAATTTTAGTGATGACGAAATATTGATTGTAAAAATAAATACAGTTTGGCCTATGCAGAAATTTTTCTACTAAGAAAACATTTTGTTCATTAGGAAAACATTCAACGTCCTTGGCTGAGTTCCAATTTTTTTTAAATAATATTTTTCAGTACTTTAAAACAATTTTCGGTAAAAGCAAAATTAATTATGTATCTTCTCTCATAAAGAATAATTAGCATATCTTTAATTGTAAAAGAACAAAGAAAACATTGAGGCAGACAAAGCTATCTGTACAATGAAAACTGAATGGAATATTAATGAAGTCACATCTGCGGTAGGTCCAAGGCTATATAAATCTTTATCAATCAGAAGTAACTGTACAACAAACATACGAGTGTTACTCCTAAGGTAAGTACTTCGTTGTTCTGTTCCTCAATTTTGAATAACATTTCTATAAGCGTAGTTCTCCAGTGAGTATTCAACTTTTTCTTTCGGTGTCCAAGACAACCCGGACAGATGAAGTAGAGGTCATCTTTTTCAATGACCTTGGCACTAATTTTAAAGGCTCAACAAATATTCTACATGCAACAGAGCCCGGTCCAACAATAGATAAGTAGACTTTATGTAGTATATGCAGACATGAGATGTATTAAGAAGCTTTTTTTTCAGTTTACCCAGAAGATGAATTCGATGCCGTGGTTTGCTATCTGGATGCTGGCAGCAGCTAATGTTGGTAAGTGAATATCATGGTGTAAATATATGAGGTTGTGTAGTGAATCTCAGTCTGCCGACAGTATGTGATGTTGTTTCTGGTGTCAGTATATGAGGTTGTTGAGTGAATCTCTGTCTGGTGTCGGTATGTGATGTTGTTTCTGGTGTCAGTATATGAGGTTGTGTAGTGAATCTCAGTCTGCCGACAGTATGTGATGATTTTAAGTTCATCTTTCCCTGGTATCGGAATGTGATGTTTGTAAAGTGAATCTTTTGGTTGGCGGGTAAGTGAATCACTGAATTAATTTAATACAAAGTTGTATCCGTCTCAAAAACAGTGAACTAACCCTTACATTAACGCACTCAATCAAGCACATGAACATTGAAAAACACAACAACACAACTTACTATAGTATGTTCTTTTTTCGAATGTGCCGTTGGGTTGTCAGATTTCGCCAGTTTCGTTGAACTCGAGACATGAAGAGATGGTGCTGTCACTAATAAGTCCACCAACCTTTGTTTTACCTTTTACGTCATGTACCACCAGTCTCAGGTCTGCGCGAGACACACTTAATCTCGGATCAAAATTTGGTACTTTCGGGTTAGCTGTCGTGTGCGCTACTACGTGACGACGCCATCTAATATTTAACGAGAGAACGTTTATATATTTAATTGTTTGTTTCTATTGATGTAAAATTGTACAAAAATATCTGGTACTGAGTTGAACAGTGAACTCTCCCCTCCTCTAATGTCGCCAGTTAGTGCTGTAGAGAAGAGAAGCACGGCCTCAGCAAAAGATCTGCTGGCTAAAGTCACACAAAAGACCATTGACTACAACGGTTACGGCTGTCTCTGCATTGGAGGGTATGGAAAACCTGTGGACGACCTAGACAGGTAACTCAACTAAAATATCTGGTTGAGATTTGGGTAAAAAATATAAGGATTCACTTTTAGATATTGTAAAACACATAATGATTATGTTTAGATGTTGTAAAACACATAAGGATTCATGTTTAGATGTTGCAAAACACATAACGATTCACTTTACATGTTGTAAAACACATGGTAATTCATGTTTAGATGTTGTAAAACACATAGAGACTCACTTTCAATTTGGTAGAAAACTAATAATTAACTTGTAGGTTTTGTAATGCACATAACGATTAACTTTTAATTTTGAAGAAAATTAAATGTTGAAGAACAAAACACGATTCACTTTTAGTTATTGTAGATGTCTATTCAGTTTTATCTGTTGTAAAGCTTATGTCGATTTAATTTCAGCTGTTGTAAAGCACATAACGAATGTTATAAGCCAATCTATAACAAATGCTTTCCTACCACCATCGACTACAAATACTCTTGTGTTGGCAGTACATGCACCTGTGGTGAGTTATCGCCCGTGTGTATACGTGCTTGTAGTGAGTTATCGAATCTGCTACATGTATTTTGTGAATTATCGTCCCTGCGTATAAGTTCTTTTCGTAAGCTATCGAGTCTTCATGTATGTTGTCATTGTAATTTATTAAAATTGAATAGATAATTTTAATGTGAGTTTTCGGACTTTGGTTCATCATCTTGTGATTAGTCATCGTTTCTACATCTGAGATCAATTAGAATATTTAATGCAAAGTATATCACGCCAACTGTTCAATAACAATTATCAAAAACAAAATGAACTTAAAACTTTAAGGATAACTGCCTATTCATTATTACCAATTCTGGAGTATTCAAAGATTTAACAAATACATAGAACAACGGACTGAAACATTTAAATAGTGAGAATAACTTTACAGCAAAAATATGATCAATTTATTGGCATTGGTTGGTTTACAATCTTATTTATCTAAGCTTCTCATCAAAGCATCTGAACATGTAATACATCGACTCTCATATTGCTTCATATTTCAGACCCCAAAAACACCCAGTGTGGAACTAGTGCTTGCACATGTGACCTGCAGTTAGCCAAATGTGTGGCCAGCAAAAAGTACAATGACGCCTACAAAAATTACGACAGGAAGAAATTGTGCTAGCCTTGCTACGGCTCACGTTCATTAGCTTTACCTTAAGCTTGAACATTAAAACAAAATAGATCAGCTAATGTGTTGTTTTTCTTTTAAGTGTGTTTGAAATGATTGTATGTAGATTAGCAATAATGTCTTAGCAATGGTTCAATTTAAATTTAGGTCTGTACACATTCTCATGTACAAATACCTCATACTCACATTTGGACCCTATCGTTCATCTTACAAGGGTACCATCCACCGCGGCGATGTCTTAAAGTTCCATCTTGTTGTGTATTGACTGTGATGCCGACTGCCAAAGTTTGTGTTCTTTGATGTCTCCCCTCGCCATCATCGAGGAGGCTATCCCATGCAGTATTAGTCCATAGTTTGCAATTCTATAGAAACAACACGGGTGTGGAATGTTTTCTCTCGCAGTCTGCCTCCTGGTTTGGCGGCCCGTTTGGTTCAAGCCGCATAAATAATGCTAACAAACACAAGCCAAGTACTACATTTCTTATACCGCAGCCAGAATGGTTAAAATGCCATCACACTGTAGCGAACATCGGACAATACCCAGCGCGCAATGGCCGGCCAATGTACGCTGCCAGTTTTAAGTTCTTTGGGCTTGGGCTAAGAGAGTCAGCCAATGTGCATATTGGCCGGCCAATGCGTGGGTTTGAAGCAATCGTGATTTGACCCTAGCAAGTTTTTCTTTTTCTTTTAGGATCTTTTACTTTTGGTTCAAAACCTTTCACTGTAGCATGACTTATAAATGTTATAATCAATTCAATAATGTATTCAATATTCATTACCTGTTGTTTCTGTATTTACCGTTCTTAGCGTTTCGGTTGGGCTCCTACAATGTGAAGTAATATCAAGGATATACATGAATGACAGCCTTTGTTGAAATCGATTATAGAAAAAGAAACAATTAAGCGAAGTCAATTAGTACTCTACATGGGTTAGAACTGCGTTAACAAATTTTAATGTTTTAGAAATTATTTTACAAAATTAAATATGAAATAAAAGGCATTATTTTTCGTCACGTTTTTCATAAATTACACAGCAATTCCGGCTGTTATTTAAAAATCTGAATACATTCCTTTAAATTGCTAAAAAAAGTAAAAATGTAAGTATGCTGATCGTCTAAACAGAGTTCACCAGGCGCCTATTCGTACTTGCTCATGCTAGGGAAAGTAAACGAGGCTTAGCATAGAACTTACCACACCATCTGTTTAAATGCAGAAATCACAGAAACAGACGGACATTCATCTGCCTTAATGACTATTCAGTCTGAAAGGTACTACATTTAATATTAAAAAATCGAACTCTAAAATCAGTTTTTAAACTTTTGCAAGTACACCGCACCACCCCTCGCACGAAGTAGAAAAATGTTTCATTTGATCCAGTTGCTTCAAGCATTGGCGTCACAAGGTGGGGCGGGGGGGGGGGGGTTACGGACCGCACCGGGTGACAACATTTAGTGGGGTTACACTAAGAAAAAAAAAGAAGAAAAATGTATAGTTAATGATTCATTAAAGTTAAAAGTATTTTAGTACCGATTGACATAAACCTAGTAACTAGAGAGATTAATCGTTAATTAATTTACAATTACCATTCAAGAGCAAAAAGAAAACATTCTGCCGTAATGTATTAGAGTTTCATTTTTAGCGCTTCTTTTGTAACCATGTAATGCAGGGGTCTCCAAACTATTCAGCCCGAGGGCCGCATTGACTATCAAAGTTCAGTTCAGGGGCCAGTTTCTTCCAGGCATGTCTTTGATTTTTCTGAGCAAAGTTCCTCAACTATCAACAACAAACGTTTTTTCCGTAGACAAAAAGATCTCCGCGGGCCGGATGAGAGGACCTCGCGGGCCGCATCCGGCCCGCGGGCCGTAGTTTGGAGACCCCTGATGTAATGTAAACTAATAGTGCATTACTGAAAGTTTTTGTGTGAATTCAACAGGAAAACTTGAAGGAATACGAATGCGGTTAGAATACATCATGCTTGACGTTTCCAATCATCATTTTTCCTTGTTAACAAGAGCTGTTAACAATCAAGTTAGAAATAATGGCAATCCTTTTCAGTACTGCTTTACCATGCGTGCAACATGATTCAGGTTTCATTCAATGTAATTTGAATAGGTTAAGGGTATAATAGAAATGTTTAATTCTAAAGATGTTGAGGTGAGTATATTTGAAAGTTCATAAAGTAAATTTATAAAGTAAGAATAGTGTTCATGAATTATTTCATCACAAATTAGCCTACGGTCTGATAAACCTGGTTAAACTATTTATGCGTGACGGTTGCCATATAGGTAACTAAAAAAACTCAAACAAATTCATAGATTTGAACAGGAAAAAAAGCCGTGTTCGCTTATACAATGACTCTTTTTAAAGATCATACAAGTTTAGAGCCATAATTTATGTTACTCTATTCAATTCGACACAAAAGCATGAGATATGCTATAGTTGAAATCCACCAGAATAGAATGCATCGCAGCTACTACAGTTTTGTGTTAACGTTATTGCAACATAAACTTTTGCCGCAAAGGAAGTGAAAATAGTTTAATTCAGCAATGTGTTTCTTATTTGCTCTAGTAGTATTTGTGTTCTCAGGTAAGTTTTTCATATTAATATAGTTGCTACATTATAAACAGCCTCTTTAATTTATTAAATTTCGATCCTGATAATAAGCAGACACAGACATATATTATGAATCTTTAAGAACATTTTCATTTTGCTTTATATTATTTTTGAAGCTGTATATGCTTGTCTTTTAATTTGTCAGAATAAACTATTATGATGATTGTGTTTTTTTTAAATCGACGCAGATAACTATTTTTAATTCAAACATAAAGAATATGTGTTAATTTCGAAGTTTTAATTTTCTATTATGGACATATCAATTATGTTAACATGCTGTAATTTAGTATTGTCTACAATTGCAAATAAAAATGCGGGTGCTCTTCTGTTTAATAAAATCTTTTATATACCAGTGATAGATGTAACTGCTGACAGTGAACCATCTTTTATATACCAGTGATAGATGTAACTGCTGACAGTGAAACATCTTTTATATACAATTGATAGCTGTAACTGCTGACAGTGAAACATCTTTTATATAAAATTGATAGCTGTAACTGCTGACAGTGAAACATCTTTTATATACCAGTGATAGATGTAACTGCTGACAGTGAAACATCTTTTATATACCAGTGATAGATGTAACTGCTGACAGTGAAACATCTTTTATATACAATTGATAGCTGTAACTGCTGACAGTGAAACATCTTTTATATAAAATTGATAGCTGTAACTGCTGACAGTGAAACATCTTTTATATACCATTGATAGATGTAACTGCTGACAGTGAAACATCTTTTATATACCATTGATAGATGTAACTGCTGACAGTGAAACATCTTTTATATACCATTGATAGATGTAACTGCTGACAGTGAAACATCTTTTATATACCAGTGATAGATGTAACTGCTGACAGTGAAACATCTTTTATATACAATTGATAGCTGTAACTGCTGACAGTGAAACATCTTTTATATAAAATTGATAGCTGTAACTGCTGACAGTGAAACATCTTTTATATACAATTGACTGCCGTAACTGCTGACAGTGAAACATCTTTTATATACCATTGATAGCTGTAACTGCTGACAGTGAAACATCTTTTATATACCACTGATAGCTGTAACTGCTGACAGTGAAACATCTTTTATATACCAGTGATAGCCGTAACTGCTGACAGTGAAACATCTTTTATATACCATTGATAGCTGTAACTGCTGACAGTGAAACATCTTTTATATACCATTGATAGCTGTAACTGCTGACAGTGAAACATCTTTTATATACCAGTGATAGATGTAACTGCTGAGAGTAAAACATCTTTTATATACCACTGATAGCTGTAACTGCTGACAGTGAAACATCTTTTATATACCAGTGATAGCCGTAACTGCTGACAGTGAAACATCTTTTATATACCATTGATAGCTGTAACTGCTGACAGTGAAACATCTTTTATATACCATTGATAGCTGTAACTGCTGACAGTGAAACATCTTTTATATACCAGTGATAGATGTAACTGCTGAGAGTAAAACATCTTTTATATACCACTGATAGCTGTAACTGCTGACAGTGAAACATCTTTTATATACCAGTGATAGATGTAGTTGCTGGCAGTGAAACACAAGAATACAACTACATATTGCGAGATACAAGTGACGTCACAATGTTACCACTGGACGGTCATCACGTGACCGATGGAGTGCTGGACTGTGCTGTCACGTGCTCAAACTACGAGAACGACTGTTACAACTTTATGTTTGATGAGGCCAGTCGAGGGTGTTATTTAGGTGAGTTTACAACTATGTTTGATAAGTTCAGTGGAGGGTGTTATTTAGGTGGGTTTACAACTATGTTTGATGAGTTCAGTGGAGTGTGTTATTTAGGTGAGTTTACAACTATGTTTGATGAGTTCAGTGGAGGGTGTTATTTAGGTGGGTTTACAACTATGTTTGATGTGCCCAATGAAGGGTGTTATTTAGATGGGTTAGGACGTTCGTATTTTATAAAACAGAGATTAACTTTTATATCTTATTTATCAGGTAATGTTAGAATTTGATTTTTTTTTTAATTTTTCCCTCGTACAACTAAACGCCTGACGTACTGCATATTCTTCAACAATTTCCAAGGTACCTGGTTCCTACCGAAGGCCTCCGTCAGCCCGTCAGTCCCACAAGCCCCGGCCGGGTCAAAGCTGTACACAAGGGGCAGATACTGTGAGACCCATGAGATGGTCACCCCACTCAGCTATGGCAGAATGGGATCTTGTAGCACGGCCGCTTGTCTCGGTATTTAAATGTATTATCACATTGAAAACATGTTTTTTTATAAATAAAAAATTACGAGCCGACCCGCGGCATATCATACGCCGCTATTTAGTTGTTTTATTATCTACTTTTCAGTAATTCATAATTTGTGAATTCGACAGTACCAATGCTGTCACTGAAAATATCAGTAGGTCGTCAAGGACGATACCACCCCCACCCTCCTTTCCCCCAACGCCTACCCTATACCCCCCCCCCGTGAAAGCAGCCTCCTCTTAGTTACCTCCCCTAAGTTTAAAATCGTTTCAAACTAAATTATCTGCCCCAAGTAGCCGTCACTAAACCCGGCCCTATGACTGTAAACATTTAGCTTGAACCAAAGCTCACCAGACCATGTAGGGGTAGGGTGGTAGGGAGCGCGCTTACAGCTTGTTTTCTAGCGTCTCCCAGAAGAAAATTATATATATAGATAACCACCTATATTTAGAAGAAGGCTAAAAAATTAATATGGTCTAAATATATAATTGCAATTGATACTATAGTAGAAAAAACACATGTAATCACTACGACTATCCTGCAAATATTAAAATGTTTTAGTGTAGGCTATGTCCAATTTTGTAATTTTGTTATTTTTATATCAGAACAAAATAAAGTAAGTAAAACGACAAAAGTTCTAAAAGACCCAGCTGTTTACGGATCTTGTATGGACGTGAAGAACTCCACCAACCCCAGACAACTTTTACAACTGTCGTCTGGTCTTGTCGTCATGTGTGACACAGTGACAGATGGAGGGGGCTGGACAATTTTCCAACGTCGTGTCTCCGGTGTCGTGGACTTTTACCGCAACTGGGAGGAATACAAACACGGGTTCGGAGACTTCGACGCTGGAGAATTCTACCTCGGCAACGAAAACATTTACTGTCTGACTTTCAACGGAACTTTCAAATTAAGAATTGACATGACTTTCAATGGTAGCAGGTATTATCTATCATACTCCAGTTTCAAATTACAACCGGAACTTGAATTTTATAAATTGCTAATCAGTGGCTTCAGTGGAAACGCCAGCAACTGTCTAGGAGCTCACAATGGAAGAAATTTCAGCACGTATGACATGGACCATGATGATGGTACCTCAAACTGTGCTGAGCTGTACCACGGCGCCTGGTGGTACTACAGTTGTCACGTGTCCAATTTTAATGGGCTCTTTGGTAGTCTGGAGTACAGCAAGGGATTAACTTGTCGAACTTTGACCTCAACCTATGTTGGTGTGGACAGTACTGAGATGAAGTTTAAGGCGGTTTAGAGTTCGGATAATAATTTTGTTTACAATGAATTTGATTAATTGTAATTTTATGGCAAATAAAAGTGTATTGTGTATGCAGATGACGATATTTGCGTAAATCACATCATGGAAATATAATTAATCCGTTTGAGTCATAAATGCAGGTTTTTTTTTCTAATGTGTATCTTGGTATTGCTGTAAGAGTGTAGAAAGTATCAATATATTTATCCATTGCATCATTATTTAAAAAAAAAACAATTTTGAAATTTATTTATTAAGTAGACATTTAATTATCATTTAAGAGAGTTGTTTAATTGTGGAGCAAATGTTAAAATCTTGGTGGTAATTTTCTCGTAGTAGCTGAGCATCACAGTGTTTATACTCAGCTGTTATGAGAAAATTACCACCAAGATTTTACACAGTATCACAGTGTTTTTGGGGCGGCGTGGTCAACCGGTAGAGAGCTAGACCGCTAACCCGAGAGTCACGAGTTCGAATCCGGGTCAAATCGATGGAACGTCCCTGAGTCCAACACTCATGAGTACCTAAACTCACAAATGGAAATACAGGCGGCTGGGCATAGTGCTGACCACATATTCCGATGTCTTCATCTCCCCATGTGTCTTGGGCACGAACAGGAAATGATGATGATCATAATGTTTACAATGTTCTGTTTATTTTTTTTTTGTTAAACTGTTTTAATCATGTTGTGAATTATAATTCAAAATAAAGTATCTTCACATATTTCTTTTTGCATGTTGAAGTTATAGCTTTTTTTTTATTTCATAACAATTTTAAAGTAAAAAAAAGATTGATTCGATCCACTCTTTAGGTACTTTGCAAACTCTTAAAACAAAGGGCCGTTTATTTTACATTGAATATGATGTACTTATTGTGTGATTGTTTTGATGACACCAAACGTGATTTAGATTTTAAATAATATTTAGCTGCTACAGTTATTTATTGTAACTTGCGCAATACATTTTACATTTTTTAGCTTGGTTTTCCTTGCTGTCTATCTATCTGTCTGTTGTGATTTTTTTCATATTTTTGTTACTCACTGCAATCTTCAGTTAAAAAAATGTTTGCATTAAAATATAGCATTTAATATATGTTGTTTTTGTTTAGCTATTTATGCAATATTAATTTATTGATTTGAAAGTCCGTGTAAGCTCTTTTCAAATTTATTTTGTAAATGTTTTGAAATACGAAAACGCTATTTGAATGCTTAGTAAAGCTTAAATGTAACGCTTGTTTTTAAAACCGCTTAGCCAGGAATCTTTTGTATTGGAATCCTTATATTTTATTTACTCAAATATGTGTCAATCAAACGATTTGCTACAATACGGTTGTTGCTTCCGTAGCTTTGATGCTGTTTTGTGTTTAGGCACGAAGTAATTAAACGTTTCCATTTTCTATTACTCCTTTTGGCTCCTATCAGCAGAAGGTCTAGATTACACTTTGCCATTAAATTTAACAAGATTTGTGGTTACTTTTTCAATAAATAAAGGGAGCTCCCATACATTCTCTTGTATATTCTTATATAACAGTAATGACTTGGATGGCACTCGTAATTAGGCTATATAAATGGTAAGTACATGTTTGACATAAACAATCGTTTCTGTAAGCGTATTTCGCAAGGGTAGAATTTTCGACCACTTCAGCCTGAACGAACTCTTTCAAATTCGGTTCGTGGGCCGTGTCCCACAATGCATGTATATCTTAATAGGACAGGTTCTCTTATAAAGTACTAGTTTCATCGCTTTATAATACGAAAATACGCGTTCATTTGGTGCACAATAATTTTTAGTCATGCAATTTTATTCTCTCAAAAGTTTAGAAGTATTGACAAAAAAATGTAAATAAAGAAACATTTTAATAACAATGATTTAATAAATAAATAAAACAATTATAATAAACATGTATATGCATTTTAATGTAAAACAAAATCAAGCTATAAAACTAGTATGCTTCCTTTAATAATAGCATCAACATACATAAAAATATGTAAGAGATCTCTTCAGTGAATATGCATTTATTTTATTATAAGCTGTTCTTTAGTACGCAAAACCAACTTATATCATTTTGGATTTAATGCAATTCTTGTAAGTCACTTTTAATCCAGATCTAATGCAGAGTGGTCATTCAAATGTTTCAAACAACCAATCTCTGATGAAAATGCAAGAACATCTATTTTCTAATCCAATTAGATAATTGGTTTGTCATTATTATTTAAATTTAGTGATTACTAAGTAAAGTAATTTTAACAAGCTTATATACTAGCGATAGCTCTAATATCTAAACTATATTTTGGTCACGGTTGGCTAGTTTTTGCGAGAGAGTCGATCACGGACTCAGAAAGGGAAGATACTTGTTGTCTTTTGGGGAGCGCAACCAAACTTTCATTCGTATAAAATTGATTAATAACAATACCCAGTGGCGTAGCGAGGTCGGGTGTCACCCGGTGCGGCACTTAATGGTGTCACCCCCCCCCCCAGAGGCATAGAGACCCTTCCCAGGGACAAACTTTCAAATTTTCGATTTGCACCCCCCCTCAAACTTTCGATTTGCACCCCCCCCCCCTCAAACTTTCGATTTGCACCCCCCCTTGAGTTTTTCTCTATATATTTTGCTATTGTTTGCTTTGGTGTCACCCCCCTAAATGGTGTCACCCGGTGCGGTCCGCACCCCCCGCCCCCCCCCCCCTCGCTACGCCCCTGACAATACCATTACGATGTATACTGAACTAATTTGAAAAATATTTTACAAACATTGTATAATGCTTTCTTTATCAATCCCATCACACTTGTCTCACAAATTAATTAATACAACCTACAAATTCCGACATGAAAATGCTGCAGTATGTTAGTTCCTTAAAACGAAACACATTTCTTATATTTTCATTTAAAAATTCAAATTGTAATTCATAATATTGTAATGCAGGTATTTAAGTCTAGAATAACTTTCCACATATTATTAAAAGACCTAATGTTTGTGGTAAAGAGTAACTACTAAGTTATATTATTTGCAGAAGAGATGCAAATTAAATATTGTATAAAGAGCAAAAATCACGGATTATTGATTGATATCACAAATAACTATAACATTTATTTTTCAGCACAAATAAATTTTAAAACATAATTTAAATTGATGCGAAATAATTTAAATATATTGGCCATGAAAATTCAAATAAAGCTAGATTAAGCAATTAATGTACGATGTTTTTGTTAGACAACTTCTTTTTACCGTTGTATATCAGCCTTAGAATAGTACCCATAATTTTGGTAGCCACACTTTTACAGTGTATAGGTTCATGTGTACTGCACATTATAATAGCTTATATGTTATAAGAATATCAGCCACTATGTTTCTGTAAGTAGAGGTTGCTTTTTAATTTTTCCGATCTTATTTTCCGTTTGCTTCATTGGCCTGGATGGCAAGACAAACCAGAGACGACTATGCATGCAATAAACTCATGTTTGTTTTCGCCTATTCTGTTTTTACCGAACATATATTTGTCAGTTACGACTCTATCTAGTATATATATTCTATACCACATTGCGATGCTGTCGTATATCAAAGCGTTAAAACTAGTTTCAGACTAAATGTTTATACACCCGCCGCGGTGGCTGTGATCTCAGATGATGTCTTTGCTAGCATTCTACAAAAAATAAAAGTAAAATACAAAATTAACTTCTCAGTGTTTTCTAGATCGTTTTATGTACTATTTTTAAACATACCCATCGCATTAAAATAAAAAATCATTAAAAAATCTAAGCTTATTATGTGCTTAAAAAAATTATTGTATATGGACCTGTCCAAAAACAACGTCACATTTTTAAAAACGATTTTTTAAACCCCATGCCGTCCCAATCATTGAACATTAAAACAACCCACCAATTTCCTTTAATAAAACGACCTCGTAATTCTACTTATCACAGGAACTCGCAATCTCCATAACCTCTTGGATGTAACGTCTTAAATGAACGACCCAATTATACAAAAAAAATATCATCGACAAAATAAAACTTAAAAGCTTAAAAACTTGAAGTACCTATTTCACCAATGCTTTAATTGTCTTTTCCGATGATTCACGCAATCTCCCCATTACATCTGTGCTATACATTCTATTTGTATTATTCAGAAAAACTCGAACTATAACCTCATTAAATGTCGCGGGTCCAAAAACTTTGCTAGCCTACAAAACAATTAAATAATATATAGTGTTTCTCTCACACACACATTCACACAAACACAAACACACACACACACACAAACACACACACACATATATATATATATATATATATATATATATATATATATATATATATATATATATATATATATATATATATATATATATATATATATATATGCATGTCATCATTGAAATAAATGATAATTACAATTGCAACAGACTCTTTGTTTCACACAGTTATCTATTTTTAGTATTAAATGCTATTACGCTTACCTCTTCCTTTGTAAAATGTCTGGCTTTTGTAAAATCGTCTTTAGAATAGACCTTCAATCTCTCTACAGGGTTCGCTTCCTTCATCCCAAAATCCAAGTAGGTCATCTGTCGATATGAATATTTCACGATTCTATAACATACAAAAAACTATTTCGCTGTAGGTATACTGGGTTAATGGGAAAATAAATTGAAAATTATCCTTTAAAACCTGGTGAGCAATAGGGAAAACGAAGTAAATTTTACTTGTTTTTGTGAATTTTTAAATTATAGAGATAATGAAATCAGTTATAACGTAAGTTAGGTACCCATCAGAGCTGGGAAAACTGAAGAACTTCATTCGGACTCGATACTTTCGAGTTAAAAAAAATACGCTATGTCGCCAGACAACACAATGATTGCTAGTTGTAATAACACAAAAGGACAAAGTTCTTGTGTATACGAGCTAAATATACGTTTTGTATTTCTGTATTTAAAAAAATTGCTATAAATTAAAATAACGATTCTATTACATTAACGAACAGTTATATGTACTAATTAGTTATCGATCCAAAATAGTTTACCTTTTTTTCAAATGAGAATATTTAGGAGCCCCCCTCCCCCCCCCCCCCCCCCCCCGAAAAAAGTCTACGCCCCCCCCCCCCCCCCCAGAATGAAATGAAATTTATATAAAAAAATATATAATTTTAACATTTTCTCCCCCCCCCCCCGAAAGTCTACCGCACCCCCGAAAATTTCAAGTGCCCCCCCCCCCCCCCTGAGAAAAAAGTCTGGAAGAAACACTGAGCGAGGTCACTTCCTAAATAGTAGTAACAGTATACAATAGATATTAAACTGAAGGAGGTAAATCTAGGGCGTACGTCCGTTACAGCTTTGGCTCTTTTTTTTTTAATGTAGTTTAATTTTCGTGAATATTCACATTCACATCAAAGTGCTACCGCCCAAATGCGGGGACCCCCATCCGCGTGCACTGTGGTGCTTTGCAGGAATATCCATAGCTATACCTTAGAGAATATATATATATATATATATATATATATATATATATATATATATATATATATATATATATATATATATATTTATTTATTTATTTTTTAAATTTATTTATTTATTTATTTATTTATTTATATGTATATAATTCTTAACATTATTATTAACATTCACGTATTTATATATTCTAAAATTACCTTAATAAATAAATTCGGCTGAATGCCATGTGAGTTTGAGTCATCCACAATCATTGTTTTTAATTCATCTTCGATCTCAATTTTTGTTTTGTTCTAATGTAAGGAAAGTTATAGGAAATTATTTAAACTTTTAGTACAGAAACTACAATTAAACATATTTTTATGATGTCTTGTCGCCTAACATACTACGAAAGAAATGTATTATTAGACTAAAAAATAAGTAAATACAATGTTTCGAAATCGTTCTATTTAAAGGGGTCGGCGTGGTCGAGTCGGTAAAAGCTCATGGTTGCTAAACCGAAAAGTCTTTAGTTCGAATCCTCCGGAAGATGAAACCCCCCCCCCCCCCTAGCGCTAGGAGAGATAACTCCAAAATCAAACAACTGCTTCCTTGTAATTTGTTCTTGGTTGGACAATTGCTATGGAAGCAAATCCAAAAAGAAAAGCAGGCTGAAATCGGAGTCAATGGCGCATAACCAGTTGACACCTATCCTTAATTGTGATGGAGGCATGGTCGAGTCGGCAAAAGCTTAATTGTTGACAATTCGATATATCCTCGAGTTCAAACCCTCTGGCAGTTAAGGCTCGATCCCTTCCAACACTGAAAGTTAACCGAAATATGTATTGGTAAGAACTTAAGATCGATTTTTACCCTGTCAAATATGTCCGCTTTTATAGGCGAACTCTCAAACACACACTCAAATAGGTTTCTTTTAAATATGTTTTCGATCATTTTTGCTTCAAATTTTAAGAGGTTTCCTTCAGTGCTGTCAAGTTTTATTTTGAACAAGAGGAAATCTGTTATTTTGCTGAAATGCTCCATATCCATACTGTTCATGCACTCTTCTATATACTTATCACTGAAAAAATCGAATTGTTATTGTTAAAATTTCGTTACATTTTTTTAAATGTTAAAGATTTCATTACAATCTGATTATTATTAGCTGTTCTGAAATGCTTTCTGAGTTTATTGAACAGTCCCCAACTGAAAGGACATCTCTCTAACTAAAAAGTTTTCTTCTTCTCTAAAATGTTGTCTATATTAATCGCAAAAAGTGTGTATTAAAATATACATACATAAAGTAATTTGCATATGCATTTGATATAAAATAGTTTTCAGTAAAAATTGCTCTGAAATAAAGAGTTTAAGCATGTATATATGTTTTCTTTCTGAAGTATAAATGTAGTATTGTAATCATTCAAAACATTGAAATCGTTTGTTAAAAAAAATACCATATAACATGTATTATTTAAAACGTGTAGCTCTGTATTAACTTTTAAACGATTTACGTAAGCGGGAAGTGGTACTTATTTTACTTTAAAGTCAGTAACTTAAGTACCGTGTAGGTTATGTGGAAGAAATTTCACATAAGTATTACATTGCGCAGTTTTTTCTTAAATTTTAAATGATTTCAGGTAACCGGAAGTAGTATTTTACTTATCGGAACCACAAAAGCTTAGGTGTAGTATCAGTAAGATAAAAAAAAATGTTCAATTATAAGTATACGATCTTAAATTTGGATCGCTTTCAATTTTTTAAGGACCTCCAGAATCAGGATTGGAATATCACTCGGAGCGATTTTTAATGACCGGAATTATTAATTTACGCTATTTCCGATTTCTCAAGAAAACATAAAATTTCATTTATCATCATTGCTCTGTCTATCGTCTAGACAAGTACGGAAGATTGCGAGCAAAATTTCGACCTATTTAACCGGACAGATTTTTTTCAAGCTTTTTACTTAGTTCACTACTGGATGACTATGCATTGTAACATGCAATATAAAATAATTAGAAGTTTTATTTGCATTTTAAAAATGAAAAAAAAATGCTGCTCTACACATATAACTTGCGTTTATTTTGGTGCGTTATTCTTCTTCCCTTCGCGATTCCATTATATTCTTTTTTAATTTAGGGAATTTTGTTTTAAATCAGAATTGTTTTAATGTGACGCTAAAATCTGCTAGCAGCAAAATTAAACAAATAAGAATTAAACCTAATTATGACAAGCTTGTATTTAACTTGATTCTTTTGTATTTCTATCAGTCTGTCTGTCTATCGTGCTCTTGTCTTCATGGATCGAAATTACCGGGAGAATTGTTGATCACTTCTAACTGACCGATTCTAAGTGACGTTGGTCACTTTATAATTTATTGGATATCTTTACTAATATTTAGGAAGAGTCCCACTCGTTTCTTTATACTTATTTAAATTGTAGTGTATAATTAAATATTTAAAGAAAATCATTTGTTTTCTACTTTTTAGTGCATTATTACATAAAAGCTTGTTATTAAAACGTATTTTATAAAAAATATTTCAGTACTTAAATTTTTTTTTTTAAATAGAGTTGTTGACTAAAATCCATTGCGCACCTAATAAACATGATAACGCGGTAGTAATGAATGAAACCGCCTACTTATTTGAACAAAATTTTTATCAATCCATAAAAAAATTAATTAGGCATCCGAAATTAAGTCAAATTTTATGTCAGATTACATTGTCTTCATGTCTAGACACACGTGCCAACTTTCAAACGAATCTGTCAGAAGTGCGCGATCGATGATGTCATTATTATTGTGTATTTCTTTTTTCGGCATTGCTTTTTAATTCTATAGCGTCATTTTATTTAGAACTCTACAAATTTCTTTTCGTTTTGTAAACTTCCCATATATTCCATGACACGTAACGGTCGTTCACTATTAATCTTTTAAATTTCCTAGTGTTTTCTCTAGAGCGTTACCTACAGACAGAATAGGGAAACTATTATAGTTAATTGAACTACTACTTAAATAACTAAAAAGAAAAACGTAGTGGCTTCTTAAATTTTATTAAAGGTTTCAATATATCGATTTATAAAAAGGATAGTATGTGTGTGGGTTTGTTTGTGGGTTTATGGGTTAGTCTTTTATACATTACTACACATTTCATCCTATCGCCATGAAATTTGATGAATTTGTTGAGAATACTCCTGAAGATGTGTCCGCGATAAAAAAAAAATTCACATGGGCACCCCAGTAGGGAGGGTGGGGGGGTGACACCATTAGATGCCGCATCAGGTGACACACGTCCTAGAAACACCACTGAGTCTACCTTCTAATTTCAGAAACTTTTAATTAATTCAAAAACATTTAATTGTATATCCAATTTAGTCTAATCTAATGTCATATTGCATTGTTATTGGGTCTTGACACACGTATCGATTGTAAGAGAAATTGCTCGAAATACATACTCGTAGGCTGTTGTATAATAATTTGTTTGATCTAATGATATCTAGATCTGTAAATCTCCAATGAGACGGTGTATTTGGTGTCGCCTTTCCCTAACTTTTTGTCGAATGGCGTCAATTTTGAGCAAACATTATATTAATCCTCCTAAAAAACACTTAGGGGGCCCATTTAACTCTAAAGGATATTAATTGAAATGGAAAAATAATTGTTTTTGTAATGAATTATAAAATTTAGTGTCGCACCCCCACACCCCTAAATGGTGTCACCCGGTGCGGGTTCACCCCCCCCCCCCGCCGTCGCACTAAAAAGATGACAATAATGATTTTCTTTAAATTTATTATAATACTCTACTAATTAAATAATTACAAAGAAAAGCGTGGATCGCTATAATACTGTATACTTTTACGAATATTTAGAAATCAACATACGATTTTCTGTATGCATTTATTTTGTTTGCTACCACATGTAAAACATGTTAGTCATTTAATATAACATGTTGAACTCAAATTTAATAATATAGTTAAAAAGCACTGCCCTTTAGTTTACTTTTTTTTTATTCTGTGTAGAATATTTTGCTATTGTAATCGAATTTTTAAACCTGACAAAATGCATTTAAGTCAAACTTTTTCATTATTAAATACTTACCCAATTTTAAGAATTTTCTTAGCTCTTTGAAATGTTTCATTGATCCTTAGAACATTGAAAAGAAGAGTATCATCAATACACAATGTGCATTGAAAAGAAGATTAAAATGTCTATATAACACTCTATAAACACTCTACTATTCGACCACGCCCTTCCCACCATTTATATAGCCCCTATAATAATAATAACCAAAACTAAAATTTACGCTGCTTTAATAAAACGAAAAATGCATATTGAAATCATAAAAATCCAAAAGATGTTGTCTTTCGTCTTTATTTAAAATAAATGTGGGTGGGATAAAGTGGTCGGAGCAAAAGTCTCTAGTCCAGATACTGTATACAAGTCTTTCGAAGGTCCCTGCGCCCACAAACCGAAGCAATTTAAATCTTGTTATTCTTATTCAGTCCTAATATTTAGTTTGAATACTGTAAATAAATTGTTAGAATTTAGTACTAACGTATCGTATATCGTTTAGTTATTTAGGTTATGTTCATTTTTTTTACATCCGACTGAACGAGATGTGAACTAAAAAGGTGAAACCATTATTTTACTGAATTCAAAGAGATTGAAAAATGAAAGTTTTAAAAAAATAATATTTTAAATTGTTTGGAATGAGGTAAAGGAAAAGCATCGGTATTAGCGCAAAAAAACTCAAGCTTACATCAATTGCAAAATGGCTGTTTTTTTATGATGATAGGCAAATTTTTGCAGCATGTAGCGTGAATAAAACATACTGTAAAGTGTTGGGATTTCCTGGAAAACAATTACAAAATTTACAATAATGTCTAAATGTCTTTATTTTTTATTTTATTCTTAACATTTTTACAACAACGTTATATATATATATATATATATATATATATATATATATATATATATATATATATATATATATATATATATATATATATATGCCATGCGTAAAGTAAAAAAACTCAAGTTGATCGCCATTTTGTGAAATTCTTAAACAGTTTAGTTTATTACTAAAATCTAAATTGACACTTTAAAATTCGATATTAATCATTTTCAAATAAATTTTCTTTTTACAACTTAATTAACATCATGTGAAAGAACAAAATTAAACTAAATATATTATTCGTTACATAAATTCCATTTTTATTATTTAAAATAATATAAATTAAGATATTTATACAAGTTACATTCGTAGATATATGACTTACAAAAAAAGAAAAATAAAGCAGGAAAAAACAACTTTTTTTTTCGTTATTTTTGTTTCGAAGGGGAAAAAAAGAATTTTATAATTAGCATGTGTTGATAAAGGGCAACGTTGTAACTAAAAACAGGTATTTTAAATCACATTTTAATTTATTTTAAACACTGAATATAGTTTACTAAGTATTATTTTTTATCAATAACAGTTTACAAGCCGTTGTTCCTAAATGTTGTGTTTTCGTTTGTTTTTGGTTTTGGTCGTGGAAGGTTGTGGTTAGGGTTAAGTTTGAAGTTTGAAGTTTAGAGTTAGGTTTAGGATTATGTGTTATCTTCTAAGCTCATGTTAACAGAATTAGGAAATCGAAATGCATGTTATTTAAAGACAGGGTGTTAATAATACTGATTACCTTGTCTCTCATGCATATCTGCATTTCTCCATCAACGTCTATCACTCGGGCAAATTTCATGTACCGTTGAGGGTCAAAATTATTTTTAATGCCTAAATAATGGCAATCTCGTGCGATACAATCCCATGTGTAGGCATCTACACCATTACGTCTGTTTAATACAACCTGGGTAAATAATTATTTTAAAAAATGTCAAATTGTTCGTATATTCGGCACGTATATTAAAAAGTATTGGCTAATACATACGAATATATATATATATATATATATATATATATATATATATATATATATATATATATATATATATATAATACATGCTAATTACCTTTAAATATATTTTAAAATTGAAAATTAAGGCAAAGTGAGTTTTAAATTCTCATTAATCACACTTACCTCATATAAATAGGATTTACTCTCAGGTCTTCCTTTGTAGGGCCAAGCCTAAAATTTAAAAAAAAAACAGAAATTAGAAATGCATTCAATCGATACATTATACGCCGGATATATTTGAATACACACATATACACACACGTCCCCGAATTCGCAATTAAAAGTCTAGTTACATAAAAATATAATATAATATATGAACGTGTGTATATATGTATATACTTGATGAAAAGTGTCAGCATTTATAGTTCCAGTGTCGGTTATGGGCGAAAAGGGCACAACAGATAATGTTTTGCCAATTCAAGGTGAAATTATAGAAAAATGCATTACTTGTTACCAAGAAGTGGGGATTTTGCATGTACTTTGTGTGGCATAGGATCTGAAGTGTGGCAGAAGTGGTGTGAAGTGCTAGTGTGGTGGGAAGAATAGGAAAATCCAAGTGTATTTTTGTTTGTTCTCTGGGGACTTTTTCTATAATATTTGTAGGATAGACTTTTGTCTAATCCAGTATTGTAGTCAAACAAACGATCCAACATACCGTAGACCCCGTAGGTTCAACAGAGTTAATTAACTCCGTTATGAAAGTTAGATCATTTGCTTCCAATCCATTTTCTTGCTCAAGACAAACTTTAATATCGTTATTATTTTCTAATAAGTGTTTGAACATTTTTGCTGATGCTTGTTCAGTCTAAAAAACAAAGAAAATTATTTTATATGATTCAGAAAATGACTATATAATCGATTGTATTGATGGTTAAAACAAATCAATTAAAAATACTATACTATTACATAAATATCAATTAAAACATTGCAGAAAAAGGACAATGACCAGTTGTGTTGTAGAGTTATCTATATATATAAAATCTCTTCTGGGAGACGCTAGAAAACAAGCTGTAAACGCGCTCCCTACCACCCCCACCCCTACATGGTCTGGTGAGCTGTGGTTCACTCCAAATGTTTACAAACAGAGCCCGGTTTAGTGACGACTATTAGGGGCAGATAATTTAGTTTGAAACGATTTTAAACGTAGGGGGGGTGGGGGTAACTAAGTGGAGTTTACTTTAACGGAGGGGGGTGGGAGGAGGGGGGAGGGTTATCGTCCTTTACGAGCTACTTATAGTGTTTTAAAGAAATATTTTCAGTGGCAGCGTTAGTTGTGTCGAATTCACAAATTATGAATAACTGAAAAGTAGAAAAAACAACTAAATAGCGGCGTATGATATGCCGCGGGTCGGCTCGTAGAATATATTTTAACTTGTGTCCTTTCGAATGTATTCATTACAGCAAATCCTACAGGTACACCTAAGCCTATATCTATTGCTAAACACGTACCTACATAAATACAAACACACTTACGTATCACACATTTACTTACTTATTAATACAATTATATACTTATAAATACAGCATACCTTTTTAGCTCTTTCTTCATTAGACCAGAGACCATCGGGTAGTGAACCTATTTTTAAAATTTCGAAAAGTGCATGTTTATATTTATTGATGTTTATGCTTTTATTCTTGTATATGCCATTCGTTAATCAATTGATTACAAGAATAGAGCCAGAGGTGGACACCGGAAATACCGAGATCGGCTGCCAGAAAAAGTCCCAGTAAGCCCACCCGGAACATACCTAGAAGTTAACTAACCCAAGCAGCCTCGGCTGTGTAATTTTTTATATTTCCATTTCCCAAACTTCATGTACAGTCGCATTAGCTTTATCTTTTCTGAGGCAAAATAACTTGAATTTCCTTTGAGTAGGGTAATGTTTACAAAACATATATGCACACACACAGACATACGGACCAGATTGCAAAAGTATGTTTTTCCGACTCGGGGAGCCCTAAAACGTCGAGATTTGTGAAAATCTCGCTTTTTTGTTTGCACGATTACAAGACTTTCTCTATACTTCGTTTAGCCTGACGTTTTCACGTGAGACGCTTGTCCGAATTTGATGAATATGCCGTTTGCGCGAAAAATATTAGTATTATAATAACAAAGTAATTATTCTTAATGAATTTGATTTTGATATTTTGAAAATTATTAACTTATATTAAAACAGTGTTTAAATTACGTTATCACCTTTCGTTGTGTTTTATAAAGTTTCTTCATATTAATTTAGTTGTTTGCAGTCATACATACCTAAACTGTAACATAGTGCAGCGATTTCTAAACACAATATATCCTTGTCATCAATATCTGCAGTGGTTTTCTGTAATTCCTGTATATACTGACCAGTTAAATGACAAACTCTGTTCAAAGATTTAAGTCAAACTAGTGAATAAAATAAATGCATAAAACGTTTTAATAACCAGCTTGTATGTAATAATGCACTAAAAAAATTCATAAAAAACGTTTTAATAACAAGCTTTTATATAATAATGCACTAAAAAGTAGAAAATAAATTATAGACTACTATTTAAATAACTAGAAAAAAAAGCGTGGGTCACTTTAGTATCTATTGGATACCTACACTAATGTTTAGGAAGACACCCACGCTTTTCTTTCTAGTTATTTAAATAGTAGTCTATAATTTATTTTCTACTTTTTAGTGCATTATTACATAAAAGCTTGTTATTAAAACGTTTTTTATGAATTCTTTTGTCAGTACTTTACATGTTTTATTTACAATAGAGTTACATGACTAAAAACCATTGCGCGCCTACTGAACATCACGTTCAGTAGGCGCGCAATGGGTTTTGAACGCAGCCATTGAACGTGATGGCGCAGCTATTGAAGGTGATGACGCGTGCGGTGTGGTTTGGATAGACATGCCTACTAATTCAGTCCAAATTTTAATTAATTCATAAAAAATTAATTAGGCATCCTATTAAGTCAAATTTAATTTCAGATTGCATTGTCTTCATGTCTTGACCCACGTGTTAAATGTGAATCGTATCGGTCAAGTAGAACTGTCCGAATTTTCACTCCTGCGTTTCGGTCTAGACTTACGACTGACGACTGACGACTGACGAGGAAGTGAGTTAAATAAAAGCTTGTAAAAAAGGAGAAAATAAATGCTTTTCTTTAAATAAATAATAATTAACTACTGCTTACATTGCGCATTAAAAAAACAGGAAAATTGTGCGTACAATAGCGCGGTAAATGGTCTTTATATTGTGAACTTTCATTAATTCTTTAAAAATTATTTACCAACCAATGGAGGCGACTAAGTTAACGGGAATCCTTCCATCATGTGCTTGACATGGATTAAAATAAGCTTTTATAGATTTTGCAAACAAAGCGACCGTGAAAATAATTAAAAAATAAAAACTTAAGCCTAAAAACAAATCAGAAATTCAATAGTTTTAGAATCGATGTTTTAGAAGTTTCAAATCCAGAGAACTTGAAAATATTTTTATGAGTTTAAGGCTACATTTATATCTATTTTCAACAAGCCTAAGTTATAACCAGTTGTTTCACTTTCGTAAGACAAACATTGATTGGCTGTACAAAAACACCGTGATCTATTTCTGAAAGCCCCTCATCATATTTTGTTTTGTTTACAATGATGCTGATAATGTTTTTAAATAACAATGCAAATTTAAACCCTTTGACCTAGTTTTCCTTTTTTTTCGCTTACAATGTGTACAATAAAATGTATGGTAGCCTATCGAATAGCAGGATGCCATTGTTTATGTCGCCATTACACTTGAAAACCAAATTGCTTTTGGTTTTTTTTTATTTTTATTTAGTGACCGAAAATATTAAAAACATCAAATAAATCCAATCTATAGTAAAGTCCGAAAAAAAAGCAAGACAGGCAGGATTTTATAACCATATTAATTGTAACTACGCCGTGTACAATTTTTAAAATATTTAATGGGCCTCTCGAATACCCTTGAGTACTTTACTCGCTCGCCTCTATTCTGTTAAATTTGACGTCAGATTGCATTATCATTGGGTCTCGACCCACGGGCCAAGTTTGAAACGAATCGGTCAGTTAGAAATGGTTGAAATTTAGCCCGGCGGCAGTTTCGATCGATGACGAAGCATTAAGCACGATAGACAGACAGACAGAGGAAGCAAGTTTAAATAAAATCTTGTAAACTTGAAAAAAAAGGTGAATAATGTTTTTTTTCTTTTTTTGTCATACATTGCTATCGAAACTGTTCAGTTTCTTTCCGTTAATTTTTGTGCATAACTATTCTATTACATCTAAAGTTTTTCTTTTTCAAACAATAATTTTCGTCAATCATTAAATCTCAACACACAATTAAAACACACAGCTATAAAAATAAAATACATCATTGCTACTTTGACTCTGGTTTTCATGTGGCAGAGAAAATACACACTAGATCAGCCCTATTGCAGTTCGATGCTAAATGCTAACAAAATAGCAAAGTCTTATACAAACCCCAAAGAGTGTTCAAATTTATTGTGTGAGGCTCCAGGATATAAGAAATATACCATTCCAAGATGACTTATGTTTCTCAGTCTTTGAAATTCAGCTGTATCGATAATTTTCAAGCAGGCTGCATTCATCTCTATGTGACCATGGACAGGATCGTTAAATATCTGATTTCATTAAAAAAATGTGTGAATTGTTAAGCGATTCTTTCAAATGTATTATTCATTCTGTAATATTAATAATTTTACTGCAATCGTTTTAAACCTTTGCTTTTTTTTATTTCATTATGCAGTTTCATGTTTTGTGTTTATTGTGGGTTTTAATTTAAAAATCATTTCTGTTTTTTTTTTGAGCAAATACCTAATCAAATAGTTTGTGTGAAATTATCAAAAATGTGAAGTATACTGGCATGCTGAGTAGAAGCAACTTAATTATACCTTCAACAGCTTGTTCTACACAAGCAGATTATACCTTCTACAGATTATTCTATACAAGCCGGTTATACCTTATTTTTCTTGTTTCCTCCCACAGATATTGAAGCAGGCAGACCTAAAAATAGTTACTTGCATAAAACTATCTGAAACAACTTTATTTTTTTTTATCTTTGAAAGACAAAATAAAGTCAATAGATGAATTTTTTATTACATATCTTCGTTGCCCTCAGATTTCGCACCTTTAAAAAAAGTGTTCATTGAGTGGAAATATTTATATAGCCTATATATACATAATATATATATATATATATATATATATATATATATATATATATATATATATATATATATATATATATATATATATATAAACGAGGCTCTATATATTAAACTATATACATATCGAGGGGAATAGAAGACAAACACAGTATGTCCAAAAAACATAATCTCGAGAAAAATGAGTTTATAAATCTCATTCCAATATTAAAATGGTGCAAAATATTATGTTTAAACATTCATAAAATATTTGCATTCTACTTTTCTGTATATAAGTGTTCCTGTAACTTGTATTATTTACAGTATCAGTAATAATGTACATTGATTTGACCTAAAAAATGGACATAGTGCATTTGTCCTCTATACCCTCGATATTGCGTACTAACGTTTACAATTTATCTTTAGTGTTTATAGTTAAGCTGCTGTATATATTTTCTACTAATGTCAATTTTAACCTGTAGGTTTTAAGATAGCTATGTCGTATGAAACCTAAATGTATATTTAAATAAAATACCTTGTGGCAAATTGATCCATTTGTAAAATGCTTGGTATACGTTTTTTTGTAAAACATCGTTCCGTTGTTTAATATAAACACGTATTAATAACTCCGACTCTTCACCAAAACTTAAAATTCCTTGTGACTGAAAACAGTATATTACATTTTTATTTGCATTTATAAGATGCAGCGTTTTATGTTTTCCTATTTTATTTTTAAAAAAAAAACATTACCTCATTATATTGTATTGCTTGAGCTTCATCTCGATTTGCTTTTGAGTATGTATAAATAGCCCTACACTTTTGTGGGTCTGTTTTTCTCAAACTTAAATATTTTTTCTGTGAAATTAAAAATGTTTCTATTAAATAATTTTCGTTTATAGAAAAATTGGATAATGAAATAGTTTTAAACATAAATAATAATAAAAATAAGCTTTTTACTTTTCTCGTATACAGAGTATAGAGGAAGTATTTTAATCGTGCACAAACATTTGTGAAATTTTGACAGTTTTCACCGTTTTACTTCTCAGTACTTCATCATATACGGAGTATAGGGGTCTTATTTTAATAGGGTAAAAAATATAAATCCAGATTTATCAAAATTTCTGTGTTTTACGTGTAATTGAGTCGGAAAAACTGGACATTTCAATTCTGTCCGTGTGTGTACATGTATGTGTTTATTAGTGTCTGTAAACACGATAACGCGTGTACTGTTACAGCTAGGTCAGGGATCGGCTACCTTTTGAGACAGATGAACCAAAAGTTACAATTTACAAAATTTCCTAGTTTTTAAAGAGCCACCAACATTTTTATTTTAATATTATATTACGATCTTTAATTAGGATTTGGTATATATAAATATATATATATATATATATATATATATATATATATATATATATATATATATATATAGATATATATATATATATATATAGATATACTGCACGCCATTGAAATAGAAAGTAACAAATCATACTAATAGAATAGCGAGTGTATATTGTTTATATTTATTATTATATCGTAAACTACCGAGTGTTGCAGACTAATACTTTTATGAGTTTTAAAAATAAAATAAACTAATTATAAACAATTGTGCATCGAGCTGAAGAGAAGCATCCGGACATCAATAGAGCCTTTTTATTCTAAACATTGTCGGCTCAGCGCTTTGCCATTCTATTAAATGCGAGTGTAGATAATGGAAAGAAAAATAGGTAATGATATAGATCTTTTATAAACATCCCCACTTTCATTTTTAAGCACTAATTATACGTTTTGAAATACGTGATAGTAAAAAAACGATGAAAATTTTAAAAATTAAAATTAGCTTAGCAGGGACAAAATTCTTGGTTAATTCTATAAAAGGTTGTTGATTTTAATTAATCTACAAAACTTTGAGTACATGATAAAAACAAAACTAGCATGAATATTAAAATAACAGAATAATTTTAATTCTAATAAGAAACCATAAAGAGAACAAAGTTAATTGCTACAAAATATATAACTGAATATATATATATATATATATATATATATATATATATATATATATATATATATATATATATATATATATCATTGTTAAAATTTAATGTTTGGTGTCATACCTCCACTATAATGTCTCCATTTTCAAATGTTCTTGCACCGGCTCCTATGAGTCTTTGAGTAATTTCTTCAACAGTCATAGAATACTTTAGAATATAAAGTACATTAAAAATAAATACAGCACTATCTGAATAAAATATATGTAGTAAGTAATTCCAATGTAAACTATTCATCTAATATGAGTTCGTGTATATAATGTTACTGTATTGTTGTTTCTTTTGTTCTAAACAATAATTTAAACGTATGTGCATGTTATTTTTAACTGGACCAGCACACGGTAAGTATACTAAAGTATTAAAAATAAAACAAATAAACTGCCATTGTTTCCATTTTCAACGTTCACTGAGGACGAAATCGGCCAGAACAAAAGGTAATATCTAAAAATAACTCACACGGAGGGTGTGTGTGGAGAACGGTCATGTTTTACATCTATCTGCTTAATGAAACAAATATTTATCGTGATCAGTTAGGTACCTGCACACATTTGTTGTTCAGTGGTTGACTCTCACAAACACAATAATAAAATTTTCTGCTTAGAATGTCGTTAGCTAATTCCTTTGCTGTTAGATCTGTATTTTCAGTATCCATTATCCAATATATAATATTATCATCAAGTGCAGTATAGGCTTCAGCATCCTCCAAACAACTAGTTATTGTCTGACCTGATCTGTAAATTTTAAATAGTTTATGGTTATATAAAATTATATAAACTATTTAAAAGTAATATTTGTTAAAATTTCTTAATCATTAAATAATCTGTGAAATATCTCGTTTTCATATAAACGGTATTAATACACAATTCTTAACATGTTTTGTTTTAATATATTTTTCTGACATACGGTGCACTTTCATTTATATGTCTTAAATTTTTGTCGAAACGTTTTATTCTAATATATTTACTGTAACAAATATATATTATCTGAAATATTTTGTCCGATGATGTTTGTTTTTTTGGATTATATTAGTTTAAGATCAATGTGTATTTATTTCATTTTAATAATATTTAAACATAGAGATAATTACATACAACAGAAAAGTTGACGTCGTCCGAAAAAAAAATTAAAGCCATTGAAAATATTATGAAACTAAATTTACAGCCAAATTCTAAACAAATATCATTAATATCTGGATACATACCATATATTAGCTTAATGCATTTATTTTTCCATATTATTTACCGCAAAACATTCCGAGTAATTAAAAAATGTAAGGTATGCGTAAAATAAACTTGTCAATTACACACTGTGTGTCATATATAACATCATATATATATATATATATATATATATATATATATATATATATATATATATATATATATATATATATATATATATATATATATATATAGTATGGAATAATAGCCTGGCTTTGTTACCTGGTTAATAGTCTCATTTAAATTTTCATTTCAACTAAAATTTAAAAGGCTAACACATTTAGTAAGTGCAATACTTAATATGTAGAAAACTAATGCAAATATGTAGAAAACTAATGCAAATAACCTTAAATAAATTAAAAACGTAACTAATTTAAATTCTATCACAATTTAAGCCACATAGTATTTACTTATTCTTACAATTTAAAGAAAGGACGAAGTTTGGCTCTTTCCATCATTTCTGCCAACCTGCAATATAATATTTTAAAATAAAGGTAAAAATTTAAAAAAACATAACATTTTATTGCGCAACAAATATTTTATGTCAAAATAGTAAAAGAAAAAACTTACATGAGCTGAACTGCTTCTGTTACTTTATGTCTATAAGCAAATCTTGTCAACGTATATTTGGTGAAATACAAGTTATATAGATTTGCTATTTCCTGAAAAATAGTTAGTTACTCGAGGAGACAAATAAAATTTGAAATGATTTACGATATTAGAGATAAGCAAAAATAGTTCCTATTTTAAGAATCAAAAGTATACCAACCTTATCTCGTAAACAAATTCTTTCCGCGCCGTTAACATTTATGACCCTAGCAAACTTCATGTAACGTTTGTGGTCGAACAAGTTTTTAAAACCTAGATGATAACAATCTCTAGCCAGGTAGTCGAATGTGTGCACTGCAATCCCAGTCCCTTCATCGCAAATTATCTATGTTTAAATAATTAGTAAAAACATGTGGTGCTTAATTTAAGTAATGTGGTATTCGTGTAAATTTATATTGGTTTATCACACATACAAATAAAACCTGCATATTTAATCTAAAACATAATAATATCTCACATTACATTTCTGCATCTTGAAAATAAACTCTCACTTATTCATAAGATTATTAAAATAAAAAACAATAATTGTAAATGCAGTGCTCTTAAATAATAATATGTATAGTGTATTAACTGCAGTACAACTTCAACTCATCGATTATGCCATGTGAGCGAAAATACATTTTCTAATATAATTTACATTTATACAATGCATCTACCACAAATTATTATTTTCTAATCACTAGGAAAACATCTCTATTGCTGGCACTGTTGTGCCTTGGTTGGTAACTTTAATGTTTTTAATACTTTCAGTGAAATTTAACGCAGAACTTTGGTCATTGATAGTATTAGCAAAATATGAGGACCATCGTCTACCAACTACAACGAGAACAAGATTCTTAGTGGTAAGGTAATTGTTGATTAAATAAAATAATATGTAGATAAACCTTACCTTTGATTTTTAAACAATTATGTAAAAGGTACCTTGTGTAAATAACTTGGTGAGTTCCAATTTAAAAATGAACATTTTATATATATATATATATATATATATATATATATATATATATATATATATATATATATATATATATATATATATATATATATATAGGCCTATATATATATTCCATTTTACAAAAGTTAAAATAAATGTTATGTCCACATGTTTAATTGTGCATTCTATTCTGATGATTCGGTTTACATTAAAAGGGAATATGAACTCACAATTTATTATCAAATACCTATGACATCCATTATCGATATCTCCACATTCTCGTTTTGTAAAGTACGGTGTGTTATGCTATTTTAAGTTTTAAATAACTAACAGTCACCAAAAACTATGATTAGAGAAATAATAATGTTCATTAGATAAAGAAATAGTTTTTACCTCATACAAGAATCTTCTGTTCTGTGGTATTTTCTTTATTGAAAACATAATTTAAATATTAATTTTTATACCAAGGTTAATATTTTTGTAATTTATGAATAAATAACTAGAGATCAAAATAATTCTCTTCTCTAAATAAATGACTAAAACCATAATAATAAACTTATTCAACTTAATATTCAATATCGTAAATTTTCCAAAGTCTACATTGAAAAACAATATAAATAGCAACATATGTGTATTGTAATAAGTGTCGCTAAAGAATGACAAAGAAAAAAAATCCGACGGAGTAATCAGAACAAAATTAGTAAAAGCATGGAAGGTTAGGTTAGATTTGCCTGTCGCCCCTTCTGGGACATATTCAGCTGACAAGAGCTTTCCAGGCGTCTCTGTCCTTGGCTAGTCTCTCAAACTGTCCCCAGGTATATCCAATCTTCTTGGTGTCTTCTTCCAGGTCACGTCTCCAGGTCTTTCTTGGTCTGCCTCTCCTCCTCCTGCCATGTGGATTCCAGGTGAGGGCCTGTCTTGTTATGCTGGATACAGGCTTCCTGAGTGTGTGGCCAATCCATCCTCATTTTCTCTGGAGGATCTCTACTTCAGCTGGCAGTTGATTTGTCCGTGGCCATAGAACATCATTTCTGATGGTTTTAGGCCAGCGAATTCGCAGGATCTTTCTGAGGCATGAGTGTATTAATGATTGTATTTTCTTCTTACTTATTCTCCATGTCTCAGTTCTATAGAGTAAAACAGATTTTACTAGTGTGTTGAAGATCCGGATTTTATATTCCAAGGGTTAAATCTCCAGAACCCCAAATATTTTTTAGTTAGTTGAAGACTGCTCTTGCCTTTTCCGTCCTAATATTTATGTCTGCTTCTGTCCCGCCCTGCTTATCAACAATACTTCCAAGGTAAGTGAATCTATCCACTTCTTCTAGGGCTTCTCCTGCCAATGTTATAGGGGTGCTGCATGATGCAATGACATTAAAAACTTTACTTTTCCCTCTATGGATGTTCAGGCCCAAGCATGTAGAAAAATTAGCAACATCTTTGGTTTTATCTTGCATTTGCTGTTGTGTGTGAGAAAGGAGGGCCAGGTCGTCAGCAAAATCCATGTCATCCAGCTTGCTCCACAGAGTCCACTGTATACCGTTTCGCGTTTTCTCTGTTGACATCTTCATAATCCAGTCTATGGCCAGCAGGAACAGGAATGGCAAAAGTAGGCAACCCTGCCTTACTCCAGTCTGTACTGGGAAGGCCCCTGTAGTCTGTTGGCCAAGCACTACTCTACAGACCTTCATATGAAGACATGATAATGTTGACTATTTTCTGTGGCGCCCTATTGTGTCTAAACAATTTCAAAAATTGAATGTCTATCCATCTATCAAAGGCCTTCTCGTAATCTATGAAATTAATATAGAGAGAGGAGTTTTACTCTTGGGTCTGTTTAATGATGATGTGCAGGGTAGCTTTTTGGTCTACGCATGACGTTTCCATCCTAAAGCCCGCCTGTTGATCTCGATAGCTGGGGATCTATCGCTTCCTTCATTCTGTTTAATAATATTCTGTTGAACACTGTGCCTGTTATCCCTCTATAGTTAGAGCATGCACTATCTCCTTTCTTTGGAAGTTTTATGAGTAGTCCCTCCTTCCACTCCACTGGTATTTGTTCATCTTCCCAGATTTTCTTGAAGAGTGTGTGTAGTAGTGTGGTGTTAGTTTCAATATCTGCTGTCATTGCTTCTGCCGGTGTACCATCTATTCCCGGAGCCTTCCAATTTTTCAGCTGCTTTATAGCTTTATGTATCACTTCTTTTGAAGGTGGGTTGCAGTCTATGGGGAGATTAATTTCAGCTGTTGGTATATCTTGCGTGCACTCTGGTGTTGGTCTATTCAGTAGTTCTTCACAATGTTCTGCCCAGCTCTTCATCTGTCCTTCCGCATCAGGTATTATCTTTCCATCTTTGGTCTTGACTAACCTCTCTGGCTTACTGTACTTCCCAGATATCTTCTCTGAACTGTATTGTACACGTCCCTAACATTTAAATCAGGGGTCTCCAAACTACGGCCCGCGGGCCGGATGCGGCCCACTAGGTCCTCTCATCCGGCCCGCGGATATCTTTTTGTCCACGGAAAAAACGTTTGTTGGAGGTGGCTGAGGAACTTTGCCCAGAAAAATCAAAGACATGCTTGGAACTAACTGGCCCCCGAACTGAAATTTGATAGTTAATGCGGCCCTCGGACTTAAAAGTTTGGAGACTCCTGATTTAAATCATGGAAACGGAAATAAAATTAGTAATCTATACGGATGTCAGTTTCGTTTTCAACAATTTAATGATAGAAAATAATAAAGTTAGTTTAATTGTATTACCTCTGCTAGAATCATGTTTCTTATAAAAAGGATATTTCTATTTGTGTCACTAGGATTTCCAAGTTTGTAATCTTTAAATGCCTTTATGACTGTTTCTTGTTTCAAAATGTAGTTAAAAAGTTGTAATGTAATCTGTTTAAGCTGCATATACAAAACAAATATATTTATTTGTAAAATGAGTTGTTGTAAAAAGAACTACGTAAATGTGTTTGAAAAATACAGCTTAGTTGTTTCTGTGGGGCATTGTTTGTATTTAGCGAAATATAGGTATATGTAGCTAATTACAAATATTAAAGACCAGGTTTTCGCTCTACAGCGTAATTGTATTTTTAAGTTTAAAATTCCGTAGCAAAACGGGATAAATAATTAGTTTTAACAAGCCTAATTTTTAAACAAATAGAACTTGCAATACATTGCAGTTGAGTCCAGATTTCGGTAAAAATGCGTCTTCAAACACGTGCGAATATGGACCTGTTCCTAAAATACATAAATACACACACATATATATATATATATATATATATATATATATATATAGAGAGAGAGAGAGAGAGAGAGAGAGAGAGAGAGAGAGAAGAGAGAGAGAGAGAGAAAGTACATGAGAGAAGTAGCTACAGTGATGACTTTTGTTATAAACAGCAGCTGTGTATAAACATAATTTATTTGCCAATGAAGGGTAATTTAACACCTCAACAACACGAACCTAAGCCACGACACAGTCCAGCTATTTCTAAACACAGTATCTCGTTATCTTTTATTTCTAGTTCCGGTTGATTTTTCTTCAAACATTTTGCAAATTTACCTGCCAAATAGCATACTCTGGGGAGATGAGCGAAAGTTCATCAGATGACAGTTATTGCAATCATAATTAGGTAACTATTACGATTTAAGTTTACATAATTAAACATTTATTTTCAGATTTATAAATAGTGTTGTTTGGTAATTAAATATCGTTAATAATATTTCAATATATTTAAACAAATCAAGGCTAATGAGTGAGTGTGCTGTGGCCACATTTCTTTATACATGCAAATCCTAGACATTCAAAAACCCAGAAGAAAAGATCATGTTACAAGGTCATAAGGTCTTAGAACCGGGTAAAAGAATAAAACTGAGACAGAATGAAGACTTGTAAGATTACGACAGAGAGTGTGCAAGTATAATATTGTCTGTTAGCTACGAAACAAATGATAGGACATAGTAGAATAGGGGCAATGGGTTATGTTTTGTGTTTAAACACTGTGTTATTTCTATTTTATAGTAATCTTTTAAGCACTTAAAATTTTTATTATAAAACTCTTCGCCTGCCCTATGCTGTGTTCAAATCTGTTGTGTGTAGCTCCAGGGTACACATGGTAGCAGGTTCCTAGCTGTTTGATTGATCGAAGTCTCTGGAACTGTGGTGTGTTGATAATCGCAACACAAACTGGGTGTATGGTGATGTCGCCATGGACTGGGTCCCTGAATATCTGATTCAGTTAATACAAGTAGATTAGCCTATAACTAGGTTAAACTGTTACATATATCCAAATCAGGTGGTGTTGATTCGCGGGATAGTTGTTAAAAAAATGTTTTTTACACTACAAGATCAATATAACATTAATCCATAAGTAAAAATAATTTAAAAAGCATTCATTACCTTTCTCTTAACTTTATTTTGCCTGAAAAAAAAATTATAGAACGACTTTACATAAAGAAACACATTTAAGTTAGTTAAACAGTTATTGTTTAACAAAACGTACATTAGTGGCAATTATTACGGTATTTGAATGTTATAAGATCGTGAGCTGCTTAGGGCAACCTTAAAGAACATGAACTAATTTTAAACATAAATCTACGTACGACTCTTGTTCAGCCATCTCTCATTCGCTGTAAAAAAAAAAGAATTAAAAAAAAGTTAAATCCACGTCATTTCTATCAGTCATATAAATACTTACAAGATTTTTTTCAATGTTTATTTTATTGGCAGCAACTTGAATTTTCCGTTTAGGTTTTAAGTTATGTCTAAACATGTCTTTTGCGCAACATGTTGCAAATTGTTGTTCCTATTATATAATATCAATTAAAACCAGCTCTGTATTGTTTTTTATAATTTTTTAAAAACTAAATAAATAGTATAAATTCTTTAACAAATAAGAGCTAATTATAAGACAATTATTAACGTACTCGCCGTCGGTACCCGTCACACGTGAACTATCGGCCTGTATATTTTAATTTATGTTACACTTGTTTGAGAAAAAATATTTCATAAAAAAGTTATTGGTCAAAACGCAATGTGCTTTACTACACGTTGAACAATATTAGTGACAAAGCAAAGAAATAACTAAATAGCAAAAAAATCCGACACATTTAAAAAAAAACATAGGCTAGCAATACCTATTAGAAAAACCAAATTATTTACATAATAAGTAAAAACAGTTATTATATTAAATTAACTTTTGCAATTAATTTTACAATTTAATTACGATGTATAACTTAATTTATAATGAAATAAAACAAGATTGTAAATTCCAAAGTAGAAAGATGAAAATTCGGCTAAAACGTATCAGTTAGCTCATTGTGTTTATTAAATATTCATTTAAAATAAATGTTTTCTTGTTTACTAACAATGAACTTTTCGATATTAGACTGAATGTGCTTTGTTTTGTAAACAATGTTTATTCATCTAATAAAATAATAGTTTCTTTTTATCTTCACTTTACAACATATATTTAGTAATCTACAATAACCGTTGTACTAAATATTGTTAAATTTTCAAAGTTTTAGGCACTACAAACTAACTCAAATTTAAAAGAGCACTATAATAGTAACAAATAAGTATAAAAATGTTTTTACAATACCTTCAGTGTTTAACCTTTACGTTAACATCTTTAGTTAGGCTTCTTCTGTCGTGGCCGCCACATGTATGTATAGAGTGCCGTGAGTTCTGGTAGGCCTGGTATATCGATTACCAATTATATAGATTTTTCCTTAAACAATAACGGGCTATTTGATTGCAGAAACTCTGGGCTAGCAAGTTGCAACACGTAAAATACGTTTAGCTCCCATGCTGTGCGAAACGGGACAATAAAATTAATACTGTGTGCTTCACGGTTCGAACTTGTAAAAGCCCCAGTTCTGACAGAAATTATATTCTTGAATTCGTCATCTTAAAACCATCCTTCTGTAAGCCTCTTCAGGAAACCAACATTCTAAAACATACACACTGAAACCGTCAAACTGAAACTCCTCCACAGAACACACCCTGGAATACTTCTCTTAATAAATGCTTACACGTTGTATCGCTCAATAATGCGGCCTGTAGTTCTATTGATTACCATTAAAAATTGATAATAACTATAGCAGAAGGATATACGTTGAATCTAATGATATAAATAGCATTGCTAAAAACATTAACAACACGGGTAGGCAAGATTAATAGGCAGCACCGGGAAGAAAGAATAAAGCAATGCACGTTACGCTCTGTTGGAGGTCAGTTATACGATCAATCATGTTCCTGGTTTGTGTAATCGTGAAACAGGTGTGTTACACGTGTGCACGTTATGACTTGAAATGCTTAGTTTAGCTTCAATGAATTCTAAAAATAAAATACTTGAATTGAAATGCTAACAGATCGACTGCCTAAATTGATTTTAACACAACATTCTATTTCCGATTCCTTTTTTTGTAAGTCATAAATCTGTATGGGTTTTAATGCAATACTTGTTACTTCAGGCATTCATATTATAGACATAGACTGGTATACCGATATATTTGACTACACATTTGTTAAAATAATTGTTATAATATTTGATGGAAACTTGTTCCGTCAAAATTCACGTTCACACACATTTTACACAACTCGCAGAAGAAACTTGTGATATCAACGTATTCATTTTATTTTGCAAGAAATATAGTCATAGAACTACAGACTTAAATGAAATTCAATAATAACTGTATTGGACGTTAGTTACTTGTACAAGTTTTCTATTGAATCTGTACTTTTCATTTGGACCTATATAGCGTTTCGACGTCTCCTGGAAAATAGAAACAGTATTTATTATCTTAAAACACAAATCACTTGAAAGGAAATTAACTGTGCTTATAAATTTTAGATTAATATAAGCAATATGTGGTACATTAACCGTAAAATTAAATGCTTATTGCTAATTTATATTTAAATAAAATGTATAAAAGACGACATCGACAGTATGAGATCGTGTAGTGGTCTTTCAAAATAGTTTTCTGCTTTGATAATTTTTATAGCAATTAAAGGAACATTTAAGAGCTGTTTCTTGATGTCGCTACAAATGTATTAGTAATTAGAATTAGCAAGTATTTCATATTTCAAATATATTGTTATGGTCAAACAAGCTAACTATGCAGAAAGAGTAAAACAAAATGTTGCTGCACTTTCTCTATACTCTATTTTATCCGCGCTTTAGTCTAAAAATGAGATTGTAATTAATAACTAAACTTACAATTTAGTGTGTGGTCGACACCAATTGAGCTTTTGCTACCTAGAAACGTCTGTTCAAGTGCTTTAGCGTGATTATGAGGATGTCCGAACCAGTACCCGAATCCACAGATTGGTTGGCCACAGATAAAAATTGGAGAACCACTGCTACCTGGGCACGTGACTGCGTTGTATTCATAACGGCACCAGTTCTGTCGATCTCTAATTTCTTTAAGAGTTTCTTTACCACTGTCACTTCTGATTTCTCCAAAGCTGACTTTCTTTGGTCCACCATGTTGTACAAAACGTTTTGCAGTGTCTCGTAGTTTTCTAAACTCTTTTCTAATTTCCTCACAACATCCATGTTATGTGTGACAAACTCGACAGCACACCAGTCCATTTGATCCGATACCTCTCTGTCTGTATCAAGTAGACGCAGTCCTTGTAATTTTATACACTCCTCAAAACGTTGGTCCTCATCGTTAAAGTCTAAAACAAATGTAGCATGTTGAACCACTTCTTTACTGCTTACCACATGGTTGACTGTGGTTATGGTTAGGATAGCAAACTCTCCGTCTTCGTGATGTGCATTTGCTCCACAAGGGCAATGCCCATTCTTTTTTCTGATTCTTTGAACAAAACCGCTGCCAAATTGTATATCTTTATTCGGAATCTTGATAAGAATCATTCCAGTAAGAGGTATCATACACTGTATAATATTAGCTAAATCATTATTATCTGTATAACCCGGTATTTCATTATATTCATCTGAATTAGGCAATAGTGAAGCAGCGAAATATTGTTCGTGCAGATGCTTTTTGGGACAACTATTCCATTCAGTTTCCCAAAATTTATATTCATCTGAATTAATGAAAATATAATTGGAAACTCTTCTGCATATATTTAAGAACTGGCGAAACATTGCTATCAAAAAGTATCTACTCAATTTTTTTTACAAAGTTTTATGTAGTATTCCTTTGATTAAATAAGTTCATTAAAAATATCCAACGTAGGAGAGTCGTGACAAGATTGCACCTTAAAATAATTGAAAAGTTGCGAACTGCAAACAAAGGAACATCATAATTATATAAATATATGCAAGAATATATTTTATAATCAAAATACACCGGTTTAATACTATCGGGTGAAAAACAGAGACTTTTATTTATATAAAATTCTTGTTTCTTAAAATACTTAAATGTATCCAATGTAAAATAAATATCGGAAGTATTTCAAGCTCTCGTATACAGTCATTTAGAGAGCAACAATCATTAAAACTAAAAAGTAACATATAAAATTCAAATATGCCCAGACTCTTTATTAGTAAGTCAAGTTTAAAAGGTATAATTCTTTTTAGGCTTGCAAAGCATTTGTAGACAATGATTTATTTGCATTAATTGCTCCAATTCCAACAGAAAACATTTTGTTAAATATTTTGGCACGATGATTTTATTTTTCGCAATGTAATTTTTAAAAGGGTTTGCCATATTAATTTAAAGATTTAAAAGTCTAATTGTCTCACCGAATAGTCAATGCTTAATCAATTCGTTTTTTTTCGCATAATTTGTGCAACTTTACTTTCTATTCACGCACTTGCCAGAAGTTAGCTAACATATAGACCTATTACTTAACCTCTGAGTCAGCAATCGTTCTTCCAAGAAAAAAAACGGCTCCAAATCCTTAGGTAAGAGAAAATGATGAAGACTACAAGACTACATAACTTGCTCAGACAGTCTCAGTAATTATATTTTCTTGATTTAAAAAAAAATTATGACCTAATAAAACATTTTTAACACTATAACAAAATTCACTACTTTTAATGATTATTTGTAGATAAAAGTTGCAAGTTTCATGAATGTTCTATCACGACATGTTGTATGTAAGACAAAGAAAAGATTTTTGTCTACATGACGTTATGTGACAACGGTAATATACTATGCATGTTTAAAAACATATATAGACTTAGCATGAAGAACTTGATCTGGATACAGTTTTGTTTTTGTATCTTTTTTTTTCGTAAACTAACTGTAAATCACGTCTTTTAAAATCTTATCAATCGAATCATAGGCTGCGGAATAAAAACAATAATCGTTTCTATTTTAAATTTAAAATATGATAAAATATTGAATGCAGTCCTTATTTTATTAACATTACAGCTTTCTATTAAAGTACAACAATGTAAATCAGACTTACGTTTTTACTTAGCGTACCTTCCTTGTTCACTTCGTTGTATGATCAGTCAATTTAAAAAAAAAAAAAAGAATGCCCAGCATATTCAAATAGGAGTCAATATAAATGGCTATGTGTAAGGGAATATTTTCGTAGAAAACCTTTAGCGCTCAATAAAAATCAATCGTCCAGATCAATAAATCGATCACGGAACTTCATGCATCACTAACTTACTAGGCTAGGTAACGCTTCGTGTCAACTTTAACCCAACAATGATTGGTGTGTCGTCTATTGTGTTTGGGTCGCGTTGGTGTGGATATTACTTTAGCGCACAGCGCTGCGTGCTTGTGGCGGTAGCACAAAATAAACATAAGATTCATTTAATATGAATCACAATCATAGTAATTATGAGGCGGTTCCTTTTTAGCGAGAACCTAGATAAATAAATAAATAAAATATTAAAACCAAACGTCAAAAAATATAAACTATTTAAAGATATTTGCGTGCTTTGAGATTAAGTTTTACGTCCAATAGTGTATCCGCTAGATTTCTACATGGTTTGAATCTAAACCAACAACTTTGATAAGCGACATTAAAATTAACGGCGCTGTACTGAATTTGAATTTTCAATACATACTATTCTACCTCGCTAACGAACATAATGTGCGTTTACCATTAAGTAGCTAACAGCTACATATCACAATAGACTTAAAAAATAAATTAAAATGTATTTTTCCATTAACTCCCTACTTTAACAACAAAGTTAACCCTTTATTTACGGAATTATGTTCTGAATGAGATTTTTACTTAAACAATGTGTTACTATATTGCTTTTGGCACATTCAAAGCATATATCGAAGGAAATTTCGTTTCATAAATTTTTAATGGCCCAAACAGATATTGGTACTTATAAGTACCGTCAGTAAACTAGGACATTTTTTTTTCAAAATTTTTTTTTTACAAAACAGGAACAAACGATACAATTTATTAACTAATAACATGGCAATCATTATAACAATCACTTTTTGTGATTTTCACACATAAATACAGCACAAAAGTATATTTTGAGTACGATTTTTACTGGATTTTCTATCGGAACACATCTTAGACCTCATACACAGCAAAAGTGATCGACATGTCATGCTCCCTCATTCTTATCTGTGGTCCTTTTGGTGTAGCAACGGTTGCCGGAATGAACATGATTTTGCTGGAAGCTTCCAATAGCTAGTACAATGAGCCGCATAAACAAACAAAAGCCTAGACATTCAGTACACATTCAGTACACAACTACAAGTAATACTAGTATAAATTTAGCCTACTAGAATGTTATGACAAGTCTACACTACAGTGCAAAGTTCATAAATAGAACTGAGCTCAATGTGTTTAGGATAGCCGTAGTGGCCTACTCCTTTCTGTTTACTGATTAAAATTTACAATATAGATCATTAGTATATGCAGAAGTATGGACTATTACTAGCCTACATGTATACATTACGTAAATGCTAGTTGTTGTAGGCAAGACAGTTTAGTGCAGTAAATATAACTAACAAATTAAATCTTACAACTAGAACTAGGCTTTGGTATACAAATGAAGTAAACTAAACCTTGTAAATGAGCATGCAACTGATACCTTTATTCTGGTTCTTTTTTTACTACTAGAAATTAACATGTAATTACAATATTTCTTAGGTTAACCATATGCTAAACTTCTTATAAATGTGTAAATTTTGCATTTCTTCTGTCTTTAAAAAAAATATTTTTACTCTTTTTTTTAATTATTTAAGAATGATAATATCTTCTTAGATTATTTTTGTTAATTTTATAATTTTAACATATGATGCAATAAAGTAGCTAGTAGTATTAAAACAATATTGTAGAATTTATAAATACTATTTAATTTATTATTTGTTTTACTTTTTAAAAGTACTCAAAATTAAGCAAACGTTAACTATTATTTTATTTCCTCTAACCCAAGATTTTAAAAAAGTGATTGTCTAATTTCGTCACGCTAATAATTCTAACGGCAGTTTTGAAAAAAATAGTCGGCAATCGTTACAAATAATTTTGTTTTGAAATCCTTCTTATAATGTTACGAACACGACATTTCTCCAAGACAGTTTGAGGCGTGTCGTAATGCGAGGGTTGTCACCTCGAGTGTTACAGTGAACAGAACATTAAGAAAAAAAGCGACACGCGATGAACACATTATAATCTATTTTTAAAAAATAGTTAAACAGACGTGTTATTGGTTACAATGCCAACATTACAACATATTTCAACTCCACAGCAACGTATCTTTAAGACGTCTAGTTAACAATGCGGTGTTACGATATATACCTTTACGCCGTCTAGTTATGAGCGGATAGAATCATTACTGCAGGCGTCAAATAATAAAAAAATAGTCTTAAAAAGTCTAAAAATCTAATACGTCTCCGATATATTCCCCTACTTCTCGCCCTCCTTAAAAGAAACGTCAAACTGTAAAAATACTGATAGTTTTATACCGTGGTTTCTTCCCATGGTGTGTAGAACTAGATTTTTCACTTTACTTGATTGATCAGTGTGCCTGGCTCAGGGGTATTAAAAATAAATATGTTAATCAAGTTTAATGAGAAGACGTTGTAGAAGTGGTTAGGTCAAGGTTATGTTTTTCGATGGCAATTAACAAGTGTAGTAAGTAAAAAAAAAAGGATAAATCAACAAATCTAACATAACACAAGTCGTCCTCTGTCGAAAATTCGCCCTCTCTACAATCAATGATTCATACATATGGACCCCTGGACTTATCGTCATCAAACCACAACCTACAGCTTGTCTTTTGTACCTAACTCGAATAAAAAACCACACCCCTGGCTGTCGACACATCTACCTCACACCACTTTAATGGGTGTGTGCGAAAGGTTACATTCAGAACATGGACAAGTGATAATGACGCCCCCCCCCCCCTTTAGTGTTCTGAATCACTTGATATATTCTGCCTATACATGCCATTAGTAAGTTCTGACCCTCACTTTTGTACACGGCAACGTGACGCTTTAAATTACACCTCTGAGGCAAATTGAAAAAAAAAAAAATCTGTGTAAGTGCTAAACGACCTATCTATTCCATTTGATATTTTTTGTAAAAAAAAACAGAAACACTCTCTAGCGCAGCTAAACCAACGCAGTTGCACTGAATATATGCTGCAACGTAAATAATCGATCTGGATTTTACCAGATTTATTTTTAACCAACTAAGTAAACCACTGAAATAGACGGAGAAACGTCGACGTGTTTAAACAGCCATTTCTGGTCATTTAGCTGTTTACAACTCGGATCAGTGACGAACGTTCACAGTGAGCTATAGTAACTGATAGAATGCAGTATTTTTGGTTTTTAAGTTTTTTAATATTCGAGCAAGGGTCAATACTTTCACGTAAGTTGGATTTGATTTATTTTAAAATACCACACACATATTATAATCCCTTTTAATTTGTTTATGTTTATGACTAGCATGAAATTATAAATAAAAATTATATATATATATATATATATATATATATATATATATATATATATATATATATATATATATATATATATATATATATATATATATATATAATATCATCAACATCTTGAGATGAACACCTTATAATCATCTTGAGATGATGGTGATATGTATATATATATATATATATACATGTATCTATATATCAATCTCTCTCTCTCTCTCTCTATCTCTCTCTCTCTCTCTCTCTCTCTCTCTCTCTCTCTATATATATATATATATATATATATATATATATATATATATATATATATATATATATATATATTTGAGTTCTTGTTTTTAAAACCTAGAGCCAACTAAAAAACAAGTAGAAGATCTTACCTGTCCACCAAGCCAGCCCTACAAATGCATCTACTACGGCATCTGTTACGGCGCTAACCAGTTCTGTTCACAGCACAGTTCCAGCATTGAGACCTGCTTCCCACTGGCACTGAACACCTCTAATGCCAAGTCTTTGTTAAGCTGGTGTCGTCGGTTTGGCCAGTACAACGCGACATTGATGCGAGATGAGTCATGTATTTTAGCTTGCCAGTCCAACTTCACTTCACGTGAACTGGCAGGTTGTGGTGACACACATGAAGCTTACATTTGCAATAAGTTACTCTTTATGTTTACATGAATTTTTGAGCAGAAGAAAAGTGAAGTGATAAAGATAATAATTTTTTGTTTATCTTGTAGAAACGATCTTCGATATCCTACCAGTCCGCCATTTTCCCAACAGTTCAGTGTTCACATCTTGTGAGAATTCTGATTTCTCAGCAGGTAAAAAGTAGCAAAAATAATCAAAGTTGACAGAAGTTGTTATGATATTACTTTAGGTTAAGTTTGGGAAGTTGATGTGTATTGAATAATCTTGCCTTTCTTTTAGAACAACGTTTACAAAAGGAGAATCAAGACAACCAACCAGTGCTAAATAGTGCGACAACTATTTGTAACTTCCCAGGTACAGTGTACCAGTAAATTACCTTCTGCACTGTATTAGTTTGTAGGTTATAGACCTAAACAATTTAAAAACACCGCTTTATAAATAATACATTTCAAAAAACGACATAACTCTATATATGACAAGTTGTTTGCTCAAGATATGTTGGCACTTGTATTCTAGGCATCTATTGATTTAACGCTGTATTGATTTAACGCTTTATTGATTTAACGCTTTATTGATTTAACGCTTTATTGATTTAACGCTTTATTGATTTGAAACGAATGAAGCCCAGTAGATTATATATACCATTTTAATCAATATAATCAATAGTCTGTAATTGAACCGTGCAATAGGTGAACAGAATAAAGCAAACCAAAGTCACCTTCCGGGTCAGCGTGTGTTTATGGGCATTGAGGCGGGCACTGCCTACGTTTGTAGAACTAACACACATTTTGTTGTCTGGCATTTTGCAAATACAGAATTATAGTATGTTGTATTATCTGTACTACCAAACACTAAAACCATTCCCGTCCAAACTCTGTGTTAATAGTTTCGACACCTGTTAGTGTTAAGACGCTTCTAGATAGAATCTACTGCTAACTATCTATCTACTTGTGTGTGTGTTTTAAAACGAACAGACCAATCAAAAGTACAACATGGAAGATGAAATGTATGCATAAACACTAAATATCCAAGTAAACTAAAGTTAATAGAGATTAATAGATTTTGAATCTTTGAATCGGCTAACCTGCCTAAGTAGTATGTGTAAAGGTAATAATAAAGAAATTATTTCTCAATACCAATTATTAGCAGCTATGGAAACGTTCGTTGTACTTGGTTTCAAAATAGTACTTCAGTAACACTTCTTCCTACCTGCCAACTAAGTTTTACTAGTAAAGATGTATCGTATACAACTTTTTATTCAACTTTTGATGTCATGCAGATAATGTTTAAATCAAATATTTAGATTTAAAAAAGGAATGTTTAGCTCTTCCTTTGCTCCATCCGTTGTTATAGTCACCAGCCACCACATGCTATTGTACAATTTAATTAAACAAGCTACTGTACTGTACTTTGTGGGTTAATTAAATGCCACACGAAGTAAAGATATGGGATATGGTTGTAATGGCGAGCCATTTAGAATAATAAGGGTTTAACTACGCAATCTAAATTTAGGGTGTTTTATTATTTAGTTTAAAGTTTAAATTATATCTAAAATCTCTCGTTTCACTTAACTTAACGAAAATAGAAAAAATCTCAGTGAGCCTAATAAAACGTCACTATTTTTGTTGGTAAAAATTGATTTAGTATTCTCATGAATATATGCAGTGATTATACAATTTTCATATAAAGTCATTGTATTTTTCACATTAATGGACGCAAACTATACTTTTAACAAAATGTATTTGCCAGTATAGGCTACAGTTCTAAGAATATACAGTCCAATATTTTTGTTCATGATGAAATTTGTGGCCCGTGAATATTGTTCAGATATCTCTAAGAACCTGGATGAGAACCTGGAACATTTAAGCAGCACCATACAAGATCTGAGAAACCTGTCTACTATTGTGCAAGATGTGAGAAACCTATCAACCGCCGTGCAAGATCTAAAAAATGTAACGCAAGATCTAAGAAACCTAATTGAAAGTGTACAATATCTGAAAAAGCTAATTAATACTGTGCAAGATCTGAAAAATGTAACCGAAATCTTGCAAGATGCGATCACTCAAGTCCAAAATGTTGTCTCACAAAGTAAAGCGACTCAAGCTAAAAGTGACTATGGTAGGTCCTGTGTGTTTTGATGTTTTCTATAATTTGTAACTCTCATATAAATATTTATCAGTGTAACTTTATACTTATATTGTTGATAGTTATCTTCGAACTGAGTTTTCTATCAATAATTACAACGGCGTATGGAAAGGAATGTGTGGAAGTTATGTTTACAAAATTTGAATTACTTTTGTTTTTTAAACTTTCATTCATCCCATTTTATTACTTTGATAATAGTATAATAATCGGAACACGCTTAGTTTTTATGTTCAATTATATGTGTCTTTTTCCCACAATCCATTAAGTACAGCTGATAAATGTAATCATATTTCACCACTATATTTCATTTTATTTGCATTGTGATATATGTCATCTTCTTTGCAGCTATATATTTTCTAATGGTTGTCTTAATTTGTGTTAAACATTTTTTTTTACCCGCTATTCGTTTCCTAGAGGAGGCTTGAGTTTATTTTTATTTTTTTAATCTACAGACTAATCATACATAATTATTTTCAGAATAGTTTTTGACTTTTAATCCGGTATTTTAAATTTCTCCAGATATCAGAGAGGGGTTGGGAAATGTTACCAACATACTTGCTGACTTAACCCGCCACATCAAGTCTTTACTGTTCACAGCAGAACCTAGCCAGCGTACAACTAGCAATGGTTAGAAACACATTTTAGGTTTATTAGAAGTGTGTCTCTATGATCTATTCTATCTCTTTAAACTAGTTGTTTTAAAAATAGTGTAGACTATAACCCGGATTATTGGAAAGGAAGTGCGGAAATTTCAAAACAGCCCGATCTGCCAACATTATTTCAATGAAAATAAGCTATGGCTTAAAATAGGTTGAAAAAATGTGTGTTAAATATTATTTCTTGTTACAATCTCTGACTTTTAAAGAAGTAAAGTTAAATACCATAGACAAAATTAAAATTTCGGATTTTTTAGAAACTTCCTCATAGACTGTAGGGTTTATTCCTGAAATTTAGACTGAAAAGAAAACAAAATAGTATTTTATTTATTTAGTTTATATAGAACATGGGAAGGAGTGGTCTAGCGATAGAGACTGCTAACCCGTAAGTCTCGAGTTCGAATCCGGGTTCAAGTCAGTAGACCGTCCCTGAGTCCACCCAACTCTGATGGGTACCTAACTCACGTTAGGGAAAGCAAAGGCGGCTGGGCATAGTGCCTAGGTCACAGAAACAAGAGAACTTTACTTGCCGTCAGGTTTGAAAGGGAAACTTTTCTATAGAGCATTTCATATGCACACTATGCTCATGTCTTTTCATTTTGTCCACATAACGTCACATAATCTTTTAGCTTGTGTTTTTCTGATCCTGACACAGATTATAAATAAGGTACTTAGACAAACTTATCAGGTAGAACTACTACAGACATAGCCATTTAGCCTGCTTATAGGCCAACAAGTTCTAATCTTTAAAACCAAATTAACATGATTAAAAAAAATATAATAGGGTTTAAACTATTCGTTTTATTTATGTCTAAATATAAAAGATTGGCCCTTATTATGCTTTTAAAATAAAGCATGGCATAAAGCATGTGTGTAACATAAATTATTTTATAAATAATCAACTGTTTGTTGTCTGTGTATGACCCTCAGATATGATAACAGTATTAACAGAAGTGAAACGTTTACAGAAAACTGTTCAAGATGAGTTGATTGGGACGACTAGTAACTACGGTCAGTTATCTGCCTAACTTTGTAATAATAACCTGTCTTTGTCTAACATCTGTTTCAATGCGATGTGATGTCTTTCTCCTGTCTTTCACAATGTTTTGGTAGCTTATATTTATGTAAGTGCACTGTTCGGGACTAACAGAGGCCTTTTGCTTTCTAATCTCCAATGTAGCACTTCTATCTAAATTTAGTTCAATATTTTAAAAAAAAAATGATAATATAAATAATTACTGGTTTAACGGAATTATTTTAGTATGCAATTACTTTCTCAACATAATTATAATCTCATCCTACACAGTGTACGCGATTCTAGGTTTGGTTATACTAATTACGGCAACTCTTGTGGTGTCTGTAATTGTAAATATAATCTACATAATGAAATGTTACAACAAGCCAATGACTGAGAAGAAAGAAACAGCTACAGAGGATGAAGATATCCCTCTGACCGGTAAGCTTTTTCTATTTGTTACAGTTTTAACTATCTATTCCTCTGTTGAATAAAATGCCTGTAAAAATATCCAACGTTTTTTTTTCCTCCAAAGATGTTGGCGACAAAACGCCCGCTCCTGATATTGATGATAGGAACATACGAGGTCGTGTGGGCCACATACACTAAGTGCAAATGTTAGATCTAGTAAGATCATCAATATTTCTGACTTAGGAGCCTGCTAGAGAGATATGGAACCTCATACAAAGTCTCTAGGATGACCAACTTTATTATTGTACAATACATTACACTTACCGAGGCTAAAATAAGTTACACTTTTTTCTATTATACAGGGTTTCTATCGGGCAGATTGTATACTTTAATCAGTTTCTGCCGTCCCCTCCTCCCCCACCGAAGAAAAGTAATATAAACAGATTCAATGTCTGCACCACTACCCCTATCAAGCTACTTCCACTTTATACTATCCAGGATCACGACTAGCTACCTTTTGGGTACGACCACTAGCTACCTTATGACTGACTAAATTTTTCTCCCACATCTAACTCCAAATCTAGTCCAAGCCGTATTTTTCCTTGAATCTAAATTAGTCTTTCCTGCATGTTTAGTCAGATGACCCTGGCTTTCATTGGTCAATTTTATGTATTCATTCGTTCCTACCGACATGACCCATGGCTCGCCAGATTATTATCTATGTAAGCCCAATTCTATTCTCCGTAATTTGGCGTTATCAGTGAGTTACCACACTCGCTGGCGATCCTAGAGGGCATTAATATTTAAATTATTCACTTTTTCAGTTATTTTCACGACAAGCTATTATCTCGTTGTTGATTTTTTTTTTAATTATCTCCACTTTAGTAAATACTTATATAATAAATGCTATGTATCTAAACAAATATTTTGTTTGTTTATATGTCTGCTATAAGCTTGTGTAATTGCTTTAAACTTGAGTTGAATAATATTATAAAAAGTTACAAATACCAGACCTTTTAACATTCAATAATTTTAATCTTTAAATATCAAAATTGTTTTGTGCGGTTACTATTTTAGTTTTCGTGAGGCAAAGGAGGAAATTTGAACTAGATCTAGGTCTAAGTCTAATGTAACACTGAGTAAACTAAAAGAAACATGTAGCCTATGTATAGATATATGGGTAATGCATTAGTTGTTCTTATTAAGTAAGGCTAATTTAACTATCAATCAAATATTTCAATATTTCAATGATCCGCAGCAACAAGTACATTTTACCACATGATTGTTGTTGCTAGTGATAGCAGCTTTATGTACTTTACTAATGGTGATGTTGTATTATGCAAATATTGCACTTACTATCTGTAATGTGGATAATTCTGATACTAGTGTGTATTAAAAAATATTTTGTGTACAATTGAATGAGTTCTGTGAAACAACTTGTTTATTTATTCATTTATTACGTCCAAAGGAATTTGGAATTTTAGACTCCCATCTCTTCCCCCCCCCCCCATAGTGGACATCCACAAAAATTTAGATGACCTCTCAAAAATGCTGCAAAATTACTAATTCATTTACATGCAATGTGTACATTAACTGATGATGTAATATAGGGATTTGATATTTTCGGTAGCATCTATTACTAGGCCTAAATAATAAATAATAGTTGGGAGTTTAACTTTTCCTATATTTCCGCAAATTTACGGGGTGAAATTTACTGTGATTGTGTGAATGTGATAAAACTATCTAAAATTGTTCATTTTTTACTTTCTCGTATACGAAGTATACATGGGAGATTCACATGTTCATTGAGACTAAGGTGTTGTAAAGTTGGGTGGAAGGTTCACACGTTCATTGAGAACAACGGGCTCAGTCTCCTCTTTAACTAAAGCATATTGTTTGTAATTCTTTTTCTAAAGACACAGGATGAGGTGTGTTGTTAAGTTTTTGGTTTGTTGTTAGCAGTTGTTGACATTGGAGCTAACACATTTTTGATCAGATCATGATAGATCAGCCTAGCGGTCTCAGCTTTGGTGTTTTGAGGAGTTTGTATTGATGAAGGGCCTGGTTTAATGTCTTCTTCCTGCTGGGGTGGGCCATTGTTTTATAAAGGCTTTTTCCATTCAATACCTCATCCACTTTCACATTCAATCCTGAAATAAAGTAAATTTTAAATAGCTGTTGTTAAAAAACCATTTAGGAAAAGAAAAGCAGTTAAAAATAGCTGTATTTACTTTCTTGTATACAAAAATAGAGGAAGTGTTGTAATGGTGCAGAATTTACGTTTTACACCTCCCTGGGTCAGAAAAACTTATTTTTGCAATTTTGTTTATAAATATTTAAAAATTCATAAAAATCTTGTCTATACCCGGAGTTGCCACGCCCCGTAGTCTTAAATAAGAATATTCGAAAAGGTTTGGGGGAGATCACTCCCGCTTTATTTCCTTTGTTGATGAATAAATAAGTGTCATAATTCTTTTAACTATAATTTTCATAAATAGGATACAAAGAAATATTTAAAAAAAACAACGATAATAAAAATCATTAAAATGCACTGAAATAAGAAAATAAAAGAAATATTCTCTGTTAAGTGCAAATTTTAGTCACAGATAAAAGCTTTTGAGAAAACAATGATTTTTCTTCTTAATTTAAATGCATTATTATACAGGTTTTTGTAGTTGATTTATTATCTTGTTTTGAATATTCAGTAATTTAAAAAAAAAATTAAAATATATTGAAATTAAGAAAGCTGAAACGATTAAAACTTAATGTATTATTTGCTCAATAAAAATAAATTTATTAGCTTATGGTCTGAACTGTAAATGATGGTTATCTGCCCAATAAAACTGAAATGAGTCACCAGACTAGTACTCTATCCTGTTATCTTCCCTTTTACTTAATAAAAATATAATTGCCTTTGGAACATTAAGATATATGGGACAGCTGAAGTAGAGTTTAACCGTTTTAGTGACCTTGACAAATGCAGGGATAGTGTGGTCAGCATTAAACCACGCCATAAAAGTAGAAAAACATGTGTGCACCTTCCTAAGAACATTTATTTTTATTTATAAAAACATGTTTGCATGTAGAAGTTTCCTGCTTTAAACTTTTTTTTAGCAGTGCCAGAAAAGCTGGTTATCCAAATTTTAGCAGAAAAAAATTAAATAAAAAAAAACTACTACCTTTCTTGGTGACAATAAATACATGCTGTCTTCCTGCTTGCGTTGGGTGATACATCCTGTTCTGTTTGATTAGAAATTTCTTGTGGTAGAATTTCTGTTGGTACACTGTACATGTGAATCTTTCACAAAAGTGATGGCAATCCATGAGATGGCTGCTTAACGTATGTCTCCTGGCTTACCTTCGATTGCAGAATTCGACTTTGTTTTAAATTACGATTTAAATGGGGTTTTAAATACTCTTTCAGAACAAATCTTTTATCACACAAATCACATTGAAATATTTTTTTCTGAATGAGTTTTTTATGGAGGTATAAATTATTCTTCACAAAAAATTCTTTATGACACACATCACAAGCAAAACACTGTCCCCTTTTGCCAAGTAAAACACGATTTTTAATATGTCTTTCAAAGCGAATTTGATATATGAATGTTTCTAATCACACAGATACTTCTTAGAATGTATCTTCTGATGAATTACTAAAGCCATTTTAACTGAAAATTATTTTTAGTTTACAAATCCGCGGTAGCAGTTTCGACGCTCTATAAGGGGATCTAAGCCTAGAATCTAGATCTGCATAAGTATAAAGCTGTAAAGCTAGATACGGTGGATAATGAATTTGAAGCTGATGTGTTAGATAATGAGACATACCTTTCATTAGCCCTAATGCAAGCTACTGCCTACATCTTATATTTTTTCGGTCCAACTATTATAGGGGAAACTACAAATGCTTAAACACAATTATCTTGTTTTCATGGTTACCTACCTTTCTCCTTAAATTTAGTTACCTAGAACGTTTATTAGAGTCTGAGCATTATGGATGTTGCTAATTAACATTTATTAAATGTCCAATTTGCATAAGTTTCTATTAGAGTGAAGTATAACTAGATGTTCATGCTCATGATATGGTCAATAGACTATTGGTGTTTGACCACAGAGGGTTTGACCACATTGGGTTTGACCACAGAGGGTTTGACCACATTGGGTTTGACCACAGAGGGTTTGAGCACATTGGGTTTGACCACATTGGGTTTGACCACAGAGGGTTTGAGCACATTGGGTTTGACCACATTGGGTTTGACTACATTGGGTTTGACCACACTGGGTTTGACCACAGAGGGTTTGAGCACATTGGGTTTGACTACATTGGGTTTGACTACAGAGGGTTTGACCACATTTGGTTTGACTACATTGGGTTTGACCACATTGGGTTTGACTACATTGGGTTTGACCACAGAGGGTTTGAGCACATTGGGTTTGACCAAATTGGGTTTGACTACATTGGGTTTGACCACAGAGGGTTTGAGCACATTGGGTTTGACCACATTGGGTTTGACCACATTGGGTTTGACTACATTGGGTTTGACCACATTGGGTTTGACCACATTGGGTTTGACCACATTGGGTTTGACCACAGAAGGTTTGACCACATTGGGTTTGACCACATTGGGTTTGACTACATTGGGTTTGACCACATTGGGTTTGACCACAGAGGGTTTGACCGCAGAGGGTTTGACCACATTGGGTTTGACCAAATTGGGTTTGACCACATTGGGTTTGACTACATTGGGTTTGACCACATTGGGTTTGACCACATTGGGTTTGACCACATTGGGTTTGACCACATTGGGTTTGACCACAGAGGGTTTGACCACATTGGGTTTGACCACAGAGGGTTTGACCACAGAGGGTTTGACCACATTGGGTCTGACCACACTGGGTTTGACCACATTGGGTTTGACCACAGAGGGTTTGACCACAGAGGGTTTGACAACATTGGGTCTGACCACACTGGGTTTGACAACATTGGGTTTGACCACATTGGGTTTGACCACAGAGGGTTTGACTACATTGGGTTTGATCACAGCCTGACATAGGGTGTTTGACCAAAGGTCTTCGGTTCCAAGTGTTTTTCTCACGTTAAAATTCAAAATTGTACGTATTTTAGAACGCTGCGTCATGCACTGGAGCGATTTCTAAATGAACATTAAAATTAGATCGTTTTCCCCGTTCGTGCCCAAGACCCATGGGGCAGATGAAGTAGAGTTGATCTGCTTCAGATGACCTCAACATTAAAATTAGAAACGTTTGCTGCCAAGTGGGCGATTACGCTCAAAACCTATAACATAAAATATCGAACATATCGATAAATCTCAAATATAAAGTATCGATAAACCTGTAAAATAAAGTATTGAGCATATCGATAAATCTGAAACATAAAGTATCGAACATGTCGATAAATCTGTAATTTAAGGTATCGAACATATCGATAAACCTGTAATATAAAGTATCGAACATGTCGATACATAAGTTGTGACGAAATGTTTTTGCTGTGGTTTTAATGTTTATGTTGTTAAAGCGTAGGGCTTAAAATCTACGACAACGGCCTTTATAGGCCTATATGCATACTTACTATGTTAAAAAAAATCATAATGATTGTATGTGTATAATAATAGCTAAATAGCTCATGTCTCGCGGTCTCGTCCCCTTACCTTCACTCCCCACCCTACCCCTTCAATATAACAGGCTTTTACTTTTAAATGGAAAAAAAAAGAAGAAAAAAATCTTCCTTTTTCTTTGAGCTACTACGTAAGTGAAAAATAAAAGTGCTTGTCGCTCTAGAGATCTTAACAAAACTCTGTGACCAGGACTTTGACTGATTTATTTTTTTTATTGTAGAAAACGGTTCTTTAATGTTGTACATAATCTCAGGGCTCAAAAGAGTACAGCCAAATGTCGAACCAAATGTCGAATTAAATTTCGAATCAAATGTCGAACCAAATGTCAAATCAAATGTCGAATTAAATGCCGAATCAAATGTCGAATCAAATGTCGAACCAAATGTCGAACCAAATGTCGAACCAAATGTCGAACGAAATATAGAACACATAGTATTGGAAACATCTATGTTGTGAAACTACATAGTAAATGCACATGTTCAAACAGTCGTCAGCACTAAACAAGTTTGGTATGTTGCAAGTGAGCGAGAAAGACGAGTCAAAAGTGAAATAGATCTAAAACAGCTGATCATGTTCAAATTCGGTGGTTGTCTCGATAAATTGAGTTCAGACATGGAGGTTTTCGCCAAAAAATATGGTAAATTACTGCCAGTGATCTCTGTTAATTATGATGGTAATTTCCCTTAAATCATATTAAATAATGATGGTGATCTCCCTTAAATTACGTTAGAATAATGTTCGTGCCCTTGGTCTCTGAAATCAGATATAGAACTGGAGATTTAACAGCGTTTTAGAATTTTATGAAGCATTTTTTAACGTTGTAGATACTGCTCATAGAGCAGAAAAATGACATTTTTAACTGTGTAAATATTGCACATACAGAGCAGAGAAATGGCATTTTTAACTGTGTAAATATTGCACATACAGAGCAGAGAAATGGCTAGTTTAAAGTGACAATAGTGACGAAAAGCAATGGCTTCCAGCTTGAAATAAGTATTGATTCGTTTAGTATAATTTTTTATTTTTCTTTTTTTACTTAAAATTAATAAATTTAAATTTTTTTTAATTATACGGAGAAGAAAAATGTATGTTAATTAAAACACGTAATTGATCATTCTTTGAAAAACAAGTTAATTAAAATAGTCTAGTGACATTTGTGCGCAATTTCCTTATGTTATCTAAAAATAGCTCTGACGTATAATGTTGGGGTGCGTTCAAGCTAGAAGAACGATCGGTTTGTAGGTGTTTATGTAATTTTAAAATTTGTGACCGAACGAGAGGATATTTTTGAAAACTTTTTTCGGCAATATTGTTCTAAATTATGACAGAAATCGATTGGTACATGTTTCAAGTCGCTAAATGGCTTGGTTGCCGAGATATGGGCCAAAAACTGATTTTTTTCGAGGTTTTTTGGCTTTTCCGGGAAATACATGAAAGAAACCCGGAATTTTTATAGCCTATGCTCATTCTCGTAACTTGCTTAACATAATTGCTTTTGTAACTAGTCATCGATATTGCTTCGTTGAGGAGGAGATACGACTTAAAGCCCGGACACACATTCATCCATACATTCATTCATCCATCCATCCATTCCCAGAAATGACGAGTTAATAAACGCAATTCTCCAGAATGGAAATTGCGCTAAAAAACACAGAAAATTGTTTAAAAGCATATGACTCTCTCCTACTGTGAATAAAACCAATTTGAATTTTAATACTCAGCAGGAATAAAATAAAAGTATTGACAGGCTGTCTGAAATAAAGACGTTAGTCAATACTTCTCTATCCTGTATATTGGTCAAGTAGGTGGGTCTGATATGTGGGTCTACTAGGTGGGTCTAGTTGGTGGGTCTAGTTGGTGGGTCAAGTAGGTGGGTCTAGTAGGTGGGTCTAGTTGGTGGGTCTGATATGTGGTTCTAGTAGGTGGGTCTAGTAGGTGGGTCTGATATGTGGTTCTAGTAGGTGGGTCTAGTAGGTGGGTCAAGTAGGTGGGTCTAGTAGATGGGTCTAGTTGGTAGGTGTTTTAGGTGGGTCTAGTAGGTGGGTCAAGTAGGTGGGTCTAGTAGATGGGTCTAGTTGGTAGGTGTTTTAGGTGGGTCTAGTAGGTGGGTCTAGTAGGTGGGTCTAGTAGGTGGGTCTAGTAGGTGGGTCTAGTAGATGGGTCTAGTAGGTGGGTCTAGTTGGTGGGTCTAGTAGGTGGGTCTAGTAGGTGGGTCTAGTTGGGTCTACTAGGTGGGTCTAGTTGGTGGGTCTAGTAGGTGGGTCTAGTAGGTGGGTCTAGTTGGTGGGTCTAGTAGGTGGGTCTAGTTGGTGGGTCTAGTTGGTGGGTCTAGTTGGTGGGTCTAGTTGGTGGGTCTAGTAGGTGGGTCTAGTAGGTGGGTCTAGTAGGTGGGTCTAGTTGGTGGGTCTAGTAGGTGGGTCTAGTTGGTGGGTCTAGTAGGTGGGTCTAGTAGGTGGGTCTAGTAGGTGGGTCTAGTAGGTGGGTCTAGTAGGTGGGTCTAGTTGGTGGGTCTAGTAGGTGGGTCTGGTAGGTGGGTCTAGTTGGTGGGTAAGTGGGTCTAGTAGGTGGGTCTGGTTGGTGGGTCTAGTAGGTGGGTCTAGTTGGTGGGTCTGGTTGGGTCTACTAGGTGGGTCTAGTTGGTGGGTCTAGTAGGTGGGTCTAGTAGGTGGGTCTAGTTGGTGGGTCTAGTTGGTGGGTCTAGTTGGTGGGTCTGGTTGGGTCTAATAGGTGGGTCTAGTAGGTGGGTCTAGTAGGTGGGTCTAGTAGGTGGGTCTAGTAGGTGGGTCTAGTTGGTGGGTCTAGTTGGTGGGTCTAGTTGGTGGGTCTAGTAGGTGGGTCTAGTAAGTGGGTCTGGTAGGTGGGTCTGGTAGGTGGGTCTAGTAGGTGGGTCTAGTTGGTGGGTCTAGTTGGTGGGTCTAGTTGGTGGGTCTGGTTGGGTCTAATAGGTGGGTCTAGTAGGTGGGTCTAGTAGGTGGGTCTAGTAGGTGGGTCTAGTAAGTGGGTCTAGTAGGTGGGTCTAGTTTGTGGGTCTAGTTGGGGGGTCTAGTAGGTGGGTCTGGTAGGTGGGTCTGGTAGGTGGGTCTAGTAGGTGGGTCTAGTAGGTGGGTCTAGTTGGTGGGTCTGGTTGGGTCTAATAGGTGGGTCTAGTAGGTGGGTCTAGTAGGTGGGTCTAGTAGGTGGGTCTAGTAAGTGGGTCTGGTAGGTGGGTCTGGTAGGTGGGTCTAGTAGGTGGGTCTAGTTGGTGGGTCTAGTTGGTGGGTCTGGTTGGGTCTAATAGGTGGGTCTAGTAGGTGGGTCTAGTAGGTGGGTCTAGTAGGTGGGTCTAGTAAGTGGGTCTAGTAGGTGGGTCTAGTTTGTGGGTCTAGTTGGTGGGTCTAGTAGGTGGGTCTAGTAGGTGGGTCTAGTAGGTGGGTCTAGTAGGTGGGTCTGGTAGGTGGGTCTAGTAGGTGGGTCTGGTAGGTGGGTGTATGGAAACATTTGACCAATGTATCAGTTGTGTACTGTCAAGTGTGACCGACAGATTGAAGAACAGATGCTGAAATAATAATTGGATGGGGAAATATTGCTTCACAACGAAATTAATGGATTTGTACTGATCTTTATGTTGGTTCTTCTTTTAATAACGAAAAATAAAAATACGTATTTCGGTTAAACTAACATTTCTATAGGATAAAAGTTATTTTCTGTCAAGATATACACATTATTTCTCGTGTTATTAAAATAATTTAGTTATATTAGAATTGGAATTATTTTCTATGCGGAAAATAAGCATCTAGTAAATGACAAATTGTCACGCAAGTTTTATTATGATTAAACCCAGGAAAATGATAAATACGGTCAATATTGGCCCGGATAAAATCGGTATTATCCCAATTCTTAGAGAATGTTTCATATTTCTTACACAACGTTAAGATGTTTTATAGTATATCGTTGATAGGATGTGCCGTTATGAGCAGGAATAGCTTATATGATGGGTCACTATAAGCAGACATAGTTGATAGGTTGTGTCGTTCAAGCAGCCATAGTTTATGTAATGTGTCGATATAAGCAGCCATAGTTGATATGATGTGTCGTTATGAGCAGTCATAGTTTATATGATGTGTTGTAATGGACAGCCTTAGATCTACAGCGCCCGTGTGAGCAGACATACGGAGCAGACGATAGAAAAGAGCGTCACGCTCCAGCCGAGGTGAGGCGCGCGGGGTCACGTGGTCTAATGGCGGCACACGTTACCGACTAATTTGGCGACTCCCCCTTCTGTTCTAATACCCGGATTAAGACGGTAATAGCGGCCTTGTCTTTCAATCAATAACAGAGGATATGATTGGCTGGCGTTTTGACTATGCTCGCGTACAGTGCTGCAATGTTGTGAACGCGAGAATTACTTACGTCACAGGCTAAATATAGATCTAGACACGTCAAAGGTTTGAAACGGGAATTTTGTGTTTATATACGAAGACCGTGTTTTAATTTGTAAACAAAAACTAATGTTTATTTAAACATAACATCAGTGTTGAACTTCAGACTCATGTGTCATTTTTCCACGGATTACTAGTGGATTAATTTTTTGCGTTTACCAATGGACACTAATAAAGGTAAGTTAGATATATTTAAATTTTTAAATTTATATACTCTAATTTATCCTAAGATTTTTCGAACTGTAAACCAAAACATAGCCATTGATAATATTCTTACATTTAACGGGTGAATAGTTTAGAATACACATAATACATTTTTTAAAAATTACTTCACAACAATTTGTACAAGGACTAGGTATTATTGTTGTAGTAGTAAGGCCACAGAAAGGGGGTCAGGGTGTATGACGAAAAGGGATGGATGGGCCTGAATCTGTAATCCCATGACGTCACTAGTAAGTGGAACATACACAGCACGTAAAACTTTACAATGCAGTGTGCACGTGATGCGGGTTATCTATATTGTGCTGGATAACACAATAGCTGGTACAGCACAATAGTTGGTATCGAACAATAGCTGGTATCGCACAATAGTTGGTATCGTACAATAGCTGGTATCGCACAACAGCTGGTATCGTACAATAGCTGGTATCGCACAATAGCTGGTATCGCACAATAGCTTGTATCGCACAATAGTTGGTATCGTACAATAGCTGGTATCGCACAACAGCTGGTATCGCACAATAGCTTGTATCGCACAATAATTGGTATCGTACAATAGCTGGTATCACAAAATAGCTGGTATCGCACAATAACTGGTATCGCAAAATAACAGTATCGCCCAATAGCTGGTATCGATCAGATCAAATCGTGCAGTGAGTATCCTCGCTAATGATACTCTATAACGCAGATTAACCATGGGGATTAGTTCGGGTAAGGCTTAGGCTTGAGGATTAAAAGGAGTGAAAAGATTGGGAGGAGTCCCAAGCAATTTTGTTTTGCTCAACACAGGCACAGAGGCACAAAGTTAAGAAAGTGTTGGTATAGATCTTAGATAAAATTTGGCTGAACAAAGACAGTATAGATCAGACAGCTGAAGACAGTTTAGACCAGACAGTTGAAGACAGTTTAGACCAGACAGTTGAAGACAGTATAGTCAGACAGTTGAAGACAGTATAGTCAGACAGTTGAAGACACTATAGACCAGACAGATGAAACAAGACAGTAAAGACAGAATGCTATATCGATGAAGAAAACAGGCTTATCCAAACGGATATGACACGTCATGAACACATAAAAAAAGAACCACATTAATGCAAACAAGAAAAAAAATGTTAACTTTATTCCCACACACCATATTATGTTAATCAAGTTACGACCAGGGACCCGTTATGTAAACTTCTACTAGCACAAGGGGGATAACTCACCACACATAATGCCCACCCTAGTGCATAATAATCCAAAATTCTCCCGTCTTAAATAATCGCGTTACTATTTCAGTACCGCTGCCGTATAGGGGAGATAATCAACTCAACGACCAGATAAAAGGGAGGTAATGTTTTCTTGAGATAAGCAATGTAACGTAGTATTGACTAAGTTATTTTTCCCTGGGTACCGAGTTATGACCCTTTATTGTCGATTGAGGCAGCATCAAGTTAAGATAACTCTAAAAGACGATTGAAACCTAACGTAAATACCCATTTGAATATGAACGCCAGTTTCTTTAGCACCCATCTTTTATTCTGGGCAACTGTTTTCCCGAAAGTATCGATTCAAGTTTTGGAGACCAACAAATGGTAGGCTTTGTGTGGTGCGGCGTCAATGAAATAATTTACAGCCCGCATTATTTACGAAACTTTCAACCTCCCCCCCTCCCAACTATACATAATCAGTTAATAGGTCAAGGTCATTAGTCATTTTAGCAACAACAAAATAATTCCACTCTTTAAACTGATGACTCGTGAGTTTTCATTTTTTCTTGTAGTTGGTGAAAATTACATCTAAATAATACAGTTTCTTATTGGATTGGGTTTTATTTACTATTGTTTCACCAGACACAAACGAACCCAAAATATCTACTAAGCCAAGTGTAACGGTGTTGTGTAATAAATTTCAATGCTCTAGACAATTTCTTAGACTACAACCAAAAACACTATATAATATTGAAACATCGTATTAACTTGTAAATGTAACGCACACATCCTCTTTTTTTTATCAAAAAATTCGAACCCATTTTTAAAGGCTGTTTAGGAGTGACCAATGGGGCACGTGATACTTTATTTTGATTACCGTGATTGATAAACAGAAAACGGTTTATGGCAGACAAAAATTAATTAGTTATTTTACACTTCTAATTAGGAAAACCATAGCTCTGAATCTTTGTCGAAACCGAGTTTCGAAAATTTTCGTGTTTTTAAGGCCAACTTTTTGTCAGCGTATTATTTATACAGTTTTTTCAGGTATCTCATCTACCACCCCCCCCCCCCCCCAAGAAATATAAATTATATTAAAAAATATATACTTTTATTAGTTTCCGCCAACCCGCCCCCACGGAAAAAAAAATTTCGGCCTCCCCCCTCCCAAAAAATTCAAGTGTACCCCCCCCCCCGGTGTAAGTTGTCTGAAAGAAACACTTATTTCAAATGGATAAAAGAAATAGGAGAAAAGTGTTAAAAGGTTACAGGCAATGTAAATACTGAATTTGCGGGCTAATTCATGAAGCTGATCCAGACTGTGAATCTACATCAGGGTTTACGGTATGATACGAATCCACATTAACTCCGGCTTCCAGTGGGTTGTCGCCCCTTAGTCCTGATGTAAATACCACCTTAACTGGCTACTTAGCTGAAACTCCTAAGTAATTATTTATTACATAATCCCTTCGCTATACTAGAGTATATTATATGTAGCTTACTGATTCTTACGGCCTATCATCAAATTATTGAACGGTTGTTTTTTTTTTTAAACTATAGCTTGAACTTAGGTATCTTAGAGTTTTTGTAATACCCAATCATGTGACTTGTAACAGCCAATAAAAATATTGTTACCCAGTGTTTGCGCTGAAATACCAAAACCACGTGACCCGTAACAGCCAATGAAAATCATTTCTGCAATGTCTGCCCTGGCATAGAGTCAAACAAGGGAAAAAAATATTTTTGATCAATCGTTTTGATTGTTGCGCTCGTAGGGCGAAACGAGAAAATATGAGGAGGGGGGTGGATGAGGGAGGGGGGCAGCATTGATGAGGGGGGAACCAGGTCTGAGAAAAGACCTTTGTTCTCAGACACCGGCTAGAATCAATGGGGTGGGTAATAGACTCGTCCGTATCTTGGAATGGGGTGGGTAATAGACTCGTCCGTATCTTGAAATAAAATCTCAGAGAGCCCCGCGATTTGTACCCAACTCATCCCATCCCACCCCGTCCCATCCTGTCCGACTCTACCCATCTAATCCATCACGGTGCCACTACAGTTCCATTGACGGCGCTATATTGATCACAGGATGAAAACAAAACAAAAACATACCGACGATTTAACTTTCTGTAGGTCATAACACTACAGGCGTCTGTTTGTTTTAGGCTAGACTAGATACACACAGACAAACACACTTCTAAACATCAAATAATGGTATTTTACAGCGTCAGTTCACCAGAGAATCAGCCATAGGATGAACTCTAATCCGACGTATAACCGGGAAATCCCAATGTGGAGCTAACACAAAGGCAGCATTGAAATCGGGAAGTCCCGTTTTAGTACAGGAGACGTGTATGGATATGTGAAACTTTGGATATGGATATTTTTGTTTTATTCATTCTCATGATGGAGTTGACAAGAAAAGGTGAGATTTTTTTTGTTATATAAAACTAATCTTTTATTGTTTAAATTTTTGTCATGTGTGGATCTAATGTAAACGTATCGTTATTTGTGTGTTTGTCTGTTTAGGCCTTTGATTTTTAATATTAAGCTCTGCTTTCAAATGGCTCTACGCCCAATATAAGGTGTCAGAGGGTGTAGCTTTTCAAATGTGCGCATGCGAGATTTGCACGTTTCTATTTGTATAGTCGTCATAATAACTCCGCATTATGTGCTAGCGTCGGCTAGCGTTACATCATACGCTAGATACAACTAACATTAAATCAAGTGCTAGCTACAGCTAATGTTAAATCAAGTGCTAGCTACAGCTAATGTTAAATCAAGTGCTAGCTACAGCTAATGTTAAATCAAGTGCTAGCTACAGCTAATGTTAAATCACTTGCTTGCTAGAGCTAGCACCACATAAAGTACTAGATACAGCTAACGTAATAACTGCATGTGCCAGCTACACCAAGCGCCTCTCCACATGCTTGCTATAGTTAGCGTCACAACACGTTCTAGCTACATCTAGCGTCATATGATGTGTTAGCTACATCTAGCGTCACACCATGCGCTAGCTACATCTAGCGTCACATGATGTGTTAGCTACATTTAGCGTTACATCACACCATGTGCTAGCTACATCTAGCGTCACACCACGCGCTAGCTACATTCGACGTCACACCCCAGCCTTTACTACCCCCCCCCCTTAAACAACAATCTCGACGAGCCCTCAATCCCAGATTTTTACAGTGAAGACTTCAACATTTTTACCTCCCCTTCTTCAAATGCCAGAGCGTTCTATCCCTCGTCCAATAACGTCAACTTTTTTTAAAAAGTTAATTCCCACGACAGCTTTGCTAAATTTGGCAGCAGCAGCATTTTTTAAAATGTCGTTTTACTGTGGATTAAACCGATCAAGTGCATTATGAATGGATACAACTTGGATTTACAATGTAGAAAAATAAGAAATTTTAAAAAATTTTAACCAATTTTTAAAACCATGTTTTAATTAAAATAAATTTGGTAAAATGGTCACCATCGAACAAGTGTTAAGGGAGCTGTGGCCTAATGCTAGAGGAGGTGTGGACTAGTGCTAGGGGAGATGTGGGCTAGTGCTAGGGGAGATGTGGGCTAGTGCTAGAGGAGATGTGGGCTAGTGCTAGGGGAGGTGTGGACTAATAATAGGAGAGGTGTGGACTAGTGCTAGGGGAGGTGTGGACTAGTGCTAGGGGAGATGTGGGCTAGTGCTAGGGGAGATGTGGGCTAGTGCTAGTGGAGGTGTGGACTAGTGCTAGGGGAGGTGTGGACTAGTGCTAGGGGAGATGTGGGCTAGTGCTAGGGGAGATGTGGGCTAGTGCTAGGGGAGATGTGGGCTAGTGCTAGGGGAGGTGTGGACTAATAATAGGAGAGGTGTGGACTAGTGCTAGGGGAGGTGTGGACTAGTGCTAGGGGAGATGTGGGCTAGTGCTAGGGGAGATGTGGGCTAGTGCTAGTGGAGGTGTGGACTAGTGCTAGGGGAGGTGTGGACTAGTGCTATGGGAGATGTGGGCTAGTGCTAGGGGAGATGTGGGCTAGTGCTAGGGGAGATGTGGGCTAGTGCTAGGGGAGGTGTGGACTAGAGCCAGGGGAGGTTTTCACTAGTGCTATGGGAGGTGTGGACTAGAGCCAGGGGAGGTGTGGGCTAGTGCTAGTGGAGGTGTGGGCTAGTGCTAGGGGAGGTGTGGGCTAGTGCTAGTGGGGGTGTGGACTAGTGCTAGGGGAGGTGTGGGCTAGTGCTAGGGGAGGTGTGGGTTAGTGCTAGTGGGGGTGTGGACTAGTGCTAGGGGAGGTGTGGACTAGTGCTAGGGGAGGTGTTCACTAGTGCTAGGGGAGGTGTGGGCTAGTGCTAGTGGAGGTGTGGGCTAGTGCTAGTGGAGGTGTGGACTAGTGCTAGGGGATGTGTGGACAGCGCTAGGGGATGTGTGGACACTGCTAGGCGAGGTGTGGACTGGTGCTAGAGGTGGTATGGACAGTGCTAGGGGAGGTGTGGACTAGTGAAAGGGGAGGTGTAGACAGTGCTACTGGAGTTGTGGCCTAGTGCTAGGGGAGGTGTGGCCTAGTGCTAAGGGGGGTGTGGACTAGGGGAGGTGTGGACAGTGCTAGGGGATGTGTTGACTAGGGGAGGTGGGGACTAGTGCTAGGGGAGGTGTGGCCTAGTGCTAGGGGGGTGTGGACAGTGCTAGGGGAGGTGTGGCCTAGTGCTAGGGGGGGTGTGGACAGTGCTAGGGAAGGTGTTGACTAGGGGAGGTTGGGACTAGTGCTAGTGCTAGGGGAGGTATGGACAGTGCTAGGGGAGGTGTGGACAGTTCTAGGGGAGGTGTGGACAGTTCTAGGGGAGGTGTGGACAGTTCTAGGGGAGGTGTGGCCTAGTGCTAGGGGAGGTGTGGCCTAGTGCTAGGGGAGGTGTGGACAGTTCTAGGGGAGGTGTGGGCTAGTGCTAGTGGAGGTGTGGGCTAGTGCTAGTGGAGGTGTGGACTAGTGCTAGGGGAGGTGTGGACTAGTGTTAGGGGAGATGTGGGCTAGTGCTAGGGGAGGTGTGGACTAATAATAGGAGAGGTGTGGACTATTGCTAGGGGAGGTGTGGACTAGTGCTAGGGGAGATGTGGGCTAGTGCTAGGGGAGATGTGGGCTAGTGCTAGTGGAGGTGTGGACTAGTGCTAGGGGAGGTGTGGACTAGTGCTAGGGGAGATGTGGGCTAGTGCTAGGGGAGATGTGGGCTAGTGCTAGGGGAGATGTGGGCTAGTGCTAGGGGAGGTGTGGACTAATAATAGGAGAGGTGTGGACTAGTGCTAGGGGAGGTGTGGACTAGTGCTAGGGGAGATGTGGGCTAGTGCTAGGGGAGATGTGGGCTAGTGCTAGTGGAGGTGTGGACTAGTGCTAGGGGAGGTGTGGACTAGTGCTAGGGGAGATGTGGGCTAGTGCTAGGGGAGATGTGGGCTAGTGCTAGTGGAGGTGTGGACTAGTGCTAGGGGAGATGTGGGCTAGTGCGAGGGGAGGTGTGGACTAGAGCCAGGGGAGGTTTTCACTAGTGCTAGGGGAGGTGTGGACTAGAGCCAGGGGAGGTGTGGGCTAGTGCTAGTGGAGGTGTGGGCTAGTGCTAGGGGAGGTGTGGGCTAGTGCTAGTGGGGGTGTGGACTAGTGCTAGGGGAGGTGTGGGCTAGTGCTAGGGGAGGTGTGGGCTAGTGCTAGTGGGGGTGTGGACTAGTGCTAGGGGAGGTGTGGACTAGTGCTAGGGGAGGTGTTCACTAGTGCTAGGGGAGGTGTGGGCTAGTGCTAGTGGAGGTGTGGGCTAGTGCTAGTGGAGGTGTGGACTAGTGCTAGGGGATGTGTGGACAGCGCTAGGGGATGTGTGGACACTGCTAGGCGAGGTGTGGACTGGTGCTAGAGGTGGTATGGACAGTGCTAGGGGAGGTGTGGACTAGTGAAAGGGGAGGTGTAGACAGTGCTACTGGAGTTGTGGCCTAGTGCTAGGGGAGGTGTGGCCTAGTGCTAAGGGGGGTGTGGACTAGGGGAGGTGTGGACAGTGCTAGGGGATGTGTTGACTAGGGGAGGTGGGGACTAGTGCTAGGGGAGGTGTGGCCTAGTGCTAGGGGGGTGTGGACAGTGCTAGGGGAGGTGTGGCCTAGTGCTAGGGGGGGTGTGGACAGTGCTAGGGAAGGTGTTGACTAGGGGGAGGTTGGGACTAGTGCTAGTGCTAGGGGAGGTATGGACAGTGCTAGGGGAGGTGTGGACAGTTCTAGGGGAGGTGTGGACAGTTCTAGGGGAGGTGTGGACAGTTCTAGGGGAGGTGTGGCCTAGTGCTAGGGGAGGTGTGGCCTAGTGCTAGGGGAGGTGTGGACAGTTCTAGGGGAGGTGTGGGCTAGTGCTAGTGGAGGTGTGGGCTAGTGCTAGTGGAGGTGTGGACTAGTGCTAGGGGAGGTGTGGACTAGTGTTAGGGGAGATGTGGGCTAGTGCTAGGGGAGGTGTGGACTAATAATAGGAGAGGTGTGGACTATTGCTGGGGGAGGTGTGGACTAGTGCTAGGGGAGATGTGGGCTAGTGCTAGGGGAGATGCGGGCTAGTGCTAGTGGAGGTGTGGACTAGTGCTAGGGGAGGTGTGGACTAGTGCTAGGGGAGATGTGGGCTAGTGCTAGGGGAGATGTGGGCTAGTGCTAGTGGAGGTGTGGACTAGTGCTAGGGGAGATGTGGGCTAGTGCTAGGGGAGATGTGGGCTAGTGCTAGGGGAGATGTGGGCTAGTGCTAGGGGAGGTGTGGACTAGAGCCAGGGGAGGTGTGGGCTAGTGCTAGTGGAGGTGTGGGCTAGTGCTAGGGGAGGTGTGGGCTAGTGCTAGTGGGGGTGTGGACTAGTGCTAGGGGAGGTGTGGACTAGTGCTAGGGGAGGTGTTCACTAGTGCTAGGGGAGGTGTGGGCTAGTGCTAGTGGAGGTGTGGGCTAGTGCTAGTGGAGGTGTGGACTAGTGCTAGGGGATGTGTGGACAGCGCTAGGGGATGTGTGGACACTGCTAGGCGAGGTGTGGACTGGTGCTAGAGGTGGTATGGACAGTGCTAGGGGAGGTGTGGACTAGTGAAAGGGGAGGTGTAGACAGTGCTACTGGAGTTGTGGCCTAGTGCTAGGGGAGGTGTGGCCTAGTGCTAAGGGGGGTGTGGACTAGGGGAGGTGTGGACAGTGCTAGGGGATGTGTTGACTAGGGGAGGTGGGGACTAGTGCTAGGGGAGGTGTGGCCTAGTGCTAGGGGGGTGTGGACAGTGCTAGGGGAGGTATGGCCTAGTGCTAGGGGGGGTGTGGACAGTGCTAGGGGAGGTGTGGACAGTTCTAGGGGAGGTGTGGACAGTTCTAGGGGAGGTGTGGACAGTTCTAGGGGAGGTGTGGCCTAGTGCTAGGGGAGGTGTGGACAGTTCTAGGGGAGGTGTGGACAGTTCTAGGGGAGGTGTGGACAGTTCTAGG